GCGTCCCTCATCCCGCATCATCCGGCGGTATGAGCCCTCATATAAGCCGAAGTCTTCATTCCTGAAATCTGTCGCACTGACTTGCATAGTTCTTGATTTACAATGCGAAAATAAGGGTATTTTGTATGTTAATTCAACAACATTTTGCTACTGTCTGCCTAACGACTATAATTGGTTGACCTCCTTTCTAAAGTATCCCTGAAATGAAGTTCATATGTGCTTGGCTCACTGTGACGCAGCAGATAGAGCCGTTTGAGAGACCGTCTACTGGAGATATTATAGCTCCCGACCCAAACTCGACGCAGTTGCAACATCCGCTCCAAGTTGGCAGGCCAATTCATAGCCGCGATCTTCTACATCGTCTATGAGCCTTCAAGAGAGACTGTCACCGATCGAGGTCACTCGATGTTTGGGTATCATGAATGCTGGCCGCTCTCAATGCCAACCTCTATTTCTTGTCAGCAAAATACGCTTCTCAGGCCTGACGTAGGATGGTACATGGGAAAAGTCCAAACAGCAAAGATATGTCTCAAGTTTCACCGGACACTTGGTCCCACATGGTCACTAACATGAATCACTCAGTTCATCAACCAATCGCTCTCCTTACTACCTTTCATCTCCCCCTGTTTATTGGACGTAAACACTTCCCATAGGCATGGCCAACTCTCCAATAGCCCAGGTGATAGCCTTTGGGACTGGATAAGAATCAGCGCGTACTTTCCAAGGACCGCTGCAATATTTGCTTTTTTCAAAGACAGAAGTGCATCACGCTGGGATCGATATACACCGTTGGTGCAGCACCTCCATCACCATCTCATGAACCATACCTCGATTCCCATCTAGTTACTGAAGCGCTTCGAAACCTCTATAACAGTTGTGTATAATGCAGCTCATTGGCAGATAATCAGCTGGCACAACCAATGAAGTTGCGCGGTGGAAAGGGGTTTGGCCCTTGGGCAGCTGATCCACGATGCTTACTTCCTACCCGAAGCATAAGAGCACGCATGCAGCGTCATTCTCGACGGAATCAGGCAGCCTCATTCTGCCACTCCGTTACTTCTTGTCAATTTCTTCTCTCATATGTTGGACTTGAGTATACACTCGGCATCGAATCCAAGATGATGGACCGTCTAGGGGCATCCTTCACCTGGAGTAGGCGCGAGGTCCACATCAATCCCAAACCAATCCAGAAACGGTCTTTGTAGAACGAGAACGAATTGCTGGCTTCCTTGCTCCCTTTCAAATCTCAAAAAGGCTCTTTTATACCCAACGAGCGATCATTGCAGCAACATAGCGTGAGGCAACGACACATGCACCTAACGACATACGACCCAGCACCGCGATCTGCCGCCAGAACCTTCAAAAACTCGCAAGTCACGTCAAACCACGGGAAATAGCTGGATTTATATCAAGGTCTCATAGGCGTGGTATTACAAACCGTTAACGGCCTAAATATTTGATGGCGTCCTTCTCTGTGTGGATGCACTGGACGGTTCCTATGCTCAGCGCAAATTATCCCTACAGCCATGACAATACAATCTGACAGCACGGCGGGAACCAAATTCATCTTTATCTCATCATTGTCTCCGCTCTCTACCGCGGTCGTCTCATTATTCAAAGACACATACATCAGAACCGCAGCAGCTTTCAACTACCTATACCCCCAGGAAACATCATCGGCAAGGGGCCCCTCGATTCCTTTAAAGAAAGCTCGCGAAGTCACATGGTACCTTTTGAAGGTATTGCTTGTCTTGTTCCACTTCCACTATCTCTGATCTCCCATGCTCCTGAACCAACCCCCCCCAACCCCCCGGGTGATTGCGCTAAGCAAAGGAAGCAGGCTTGACAACACCTCATTATGCTACAGACACCGATCATCAGACTCAATAACTCCTGAAAAGGTACCACAGCCCCACTGAAGTCCATCCTCAACCAAAATCAGGTAGCGATCTGGCTGTTAGACTTAAACGAAGAAGATGCAATGGAGGCATTGCGTTGCCCGCCCTCGTTGAAGTACCTTTGCGACACCAAAGCAGCCGAGAAATGTAACGCCTTCCAGCGTCTCTGATACCTTATTGAGTCACTCGTTTAATTATTTAGTTGCGGACGGTATGAATTGCATCCCGCAGCAAACCTTATCTATCATTCTCATCAACAACTGTTCTTCCTTGCTTCATCTTACATGGTGATGAATGAAAAGCCAATCCCGATTACCACATTCTGAAGACTCAAAAAATAAAAGTACAGCCCGCAGAGCGTTCAAATGCTTCTCCGCGAATCCCGTCTCCAACCCCATCACCACAGCCGGCAATTGGTATAAATTGCCGCCGCAAGACGGGAAGTACAAGTTCAAACACAATGGGGCAGTAGAAACTGTTGAATTGATTTGCCTCGATGCCAAAAACAATTCCAGCATCTCAATTCTGTCAGGTATTCACGATATGACCAAAGTCACAATCCCCAACAGCCATGCTTCCGTGTCTTCTACCCTTCACTTATTCTACCAGATTATACGCCCAAAGCCTACAACTACACGGACTTCAAAAGCCTCACGCTGATCCGACTCCCGTCATCACCCATTCTACCCGAAAGCCGCGCTCACTCGCATCGTGAGAAATGACCTCGTTCAAGTTTGCTTTGCATGCCTCGAATACCTAGACCCATTTCTGCTCTCATGAAACGCAATCTCTGGCTGCTGGATTCTTACTTTTATACCCAGCTCGAAAGGCACATTTCGTCAATTACTTAAGACTCAATCTGAAGCTTCCAATAAGCCATCACCAATGGGACTCCCAGGTACGATTTTGCAAGACGGGAGTGACCGTGGAAAACCTATACTTCCCGCAAATTCCCATCAACCCCATGCAAGGGAAACGGCATGCAAATACTCAGAAGAGACTTGAACATCGTCTCTGGGAGTCTCTTCCGTCCTTAGCTTATTCAATCTAGTAAACTTGCACACATAAATCAGATAAGATAACCCTCCCTTCATCCTCTGCCTTGAGCGCTCGAGTCTAAGTCGCATGCATCATACCGCCATTATGTTCACTTGGACCGGATGGCAGCCCATTGTGATTCTTCAGAAATCGCAAAGCACAAGTCCAAACCGAGCATTGAATACTCATCCATCCACCAGCTCAGCGAATAGAGCTCCTACAAAAGAAACCTCAAGAGACATTTGGCGCAATTTCACTACAGCCAATTGCGCACCGTGAAACTGTTGTTGCTCAGTTTGAGACTTTGCTCCACGGAGCACTTCCTCATCTCATCACACACGCATGCCATTCTCCCGTTTCCACAGTGAACCATCCTTCCCCAGCCATCGTCCCCCATCTTCATCTCTTTCACGGTATCAACACGCACAATACCCCCAAGAAGCAACACCTCACCGCAAACCGCTATCTCGTCTCCCTTTGCACCCACACTAAGTTGGGACAAGCAAACCTGCCCCGATCGGTCGCGATACCGCCATTAAGTCCAACGCCTCTATGGAACAATTTGCCTGGCTCTTCAGATCCGATACACCCATTCAAGAAACCCCTTAAATACCCGCTAACCTCCCAGCCCGGAGCTCCGCTCACCCCCCCCCCCCCCGANACCCCCCCACCCCGGGCCCCCCCCCCCCCCCCCCCCCCAGCAGTCCACCAACAACCTCATATAAAACCACGAGCATCCCAAATCACATAGCAACTAATACAGGCGAAATCAGAATGCCAATCGTTGCTGGTCCTAAGCTCTTGCTCTCCAAGAAGCCTGGCACACCCCACACCGAGTTCCCAACTCATCCCACCAGAGCACGCCCTCGCAAAGCCAGCCCCAGACAACCTCACCCTTTCCTCCATCCCACCATCTCCGTCTCGACACAGGCATAACGATCAGAATAAACCTCAACCGCTGACAACCCTCATATTTCCACTCGGCAAGCCGTCTCCGGTGCGCCTACCCAACGCCAACTATGCAGACAGTCGACGTGGCGGGTGGAGCTCATCACATAAGCCGGAAACATTGCATGGTGTGACAAGCAAGATTGCTGCAGAAAAGAGTCAAAGCCACGATGGGTGGTTGCAGTATTTATATTGTTCCCCGCAGAATTCTTACGCAGGGGTTGGGTTAACACGAGGCCCACGAAGTGCAAAAGTCATTGACAGGTATCACGTCACTTAACTCCGAGGCACATGCATCCTGTCTTAACTGCGTGTTCATTAGGCTGAGCTATCTAAGCATTCAAAGCCTTCAGAGCTAAAAGAAGAACCGGGAAAACGTTGCCATCAACATTCATCAAGGAAAGTAAGAGAGATATCCCCCAACAACCCCTCTCATCCATCGAGGGGAAGGATCATCCATCATGTGAGTTGTGTGAACCGCAGCCGGATCAGAAAATATCAGAACCTGTAAAAAAGCCAAACGCAGAAGCAAAAAGATGAAAAGGACTCAAACGCCACTTTTGACCCGGATTCCCGTGAAACCACCCAACCCCCCGCCCAAAGACCGAAAGACCGCCGCCCTGTCCCAGCCCTGCATGTCCTCAACATGTGTTGATGCCCTTGTGTGCTCTTCTCTCGCGCGCTTCGTGTGTTCGACAACAGTAAAGAAAAAGGAAAAGGTTACCCTTTTTGGTTTTTTTTCTAGACGTGATTCCCAACCGTGAAAGAAGGATTCCCCAGTTGTGCCGTTGATCCGTGCGATGTCCAGTCATCCATCATGTTTTTGCCTCGACGAGCCATGTAATACCCCAGATGGCTCGGGGCTTCCCAGAGAGGAAAAAGAGAAAAAGAAAGTCCATGATTTTTTGTTCCCCGCTGTCCTCATGCAATGGCCGTCTGCAACGAGAGAAAGGTGAGATATGATTAAAAGAGAGGAAATAGGACAGAAACCAAATGACCGCTTGCCTTCCCGAATGATACTCCAAGTTGATGCCGTGTCGATGTGACATGATTGTGCGGGTATAAGGAAGGCCGTTTCAAAAGAGTGCATATTCTTCGCTCAGATCTAGGCGCTGATCAGTGGCGGGTGGCATCCGGCATGGGCTGCATGGTTTGCATGGGCTGCATGGGCGGCGTGGCGTACGAGTGGCGCTCAGGAGTGTGCTCGTAGCCGCGCTGATCGGGAGTCATGTTCGGACCGACTGCGAAGCCGTGCGCGGAAGGTGCGCGATGCATGGCACGGGGCGCATTCGGGGTGCTCTGGTGGCGGGTGTGTCTGTTGACGCCAGCGGGACCAAGCCGGGACGCAGGGTTGGGCTGGAAGGGAGAAGCACCGTAGGCATACTGGCGCTGGGGATCCTCGTAGTAATTGGGCTGAGCACCCTGGACGAAAGGATTGTCATGGGGACGAGGGTAGGTGCCATCGTAACTGTCTTGCTCGACAGCGCCGGGGTACGGGTAGGCGGCGGGAGCGTAACCAGAAGAAGAGGACGGGCGGTAGTTGGGAGCCTGGCCCTGGTGGAAGCCACCGATCTCACTCTGGGAACGCTGGTGGTATGCGCGACGAGGGTCGGGATAGGTGGGCATCGTCGTGGAAGTCTCGAGGTGGGAAGCCATCGACTTGCTGCCGCGACGCTGAGGAGTCGGGGCAGGGAGGGGGCCGCCTTGAGGACCACCGGCGCCGAAGACGAAGGGGCCGGATCCCATTTGGGGCTGACGGTAGTAATCCTCCTCAGGGTGGCCTTCGCGAATATTGCCGAAGGCGGGTCGGTGCGGGATGTTCATGCGGCGCATGCCGGACGGGACTCTCTGCATGCCAGGCATGGCATTGCGGTCTCCAAAGTAGCCAGGTTCCATGTCAGTAATGCGTTGACGTTTGTCAAAGGGAGAGGTATCGAAACCTTCTTGACCCCAATAAGCATTGGGCTGGCTGACACGTCTAGCCATTGGGAGTGCTTCGGGGCGCAGGGCAACTCCCATCGATTGCGAGCGCTTGTGGGCAGCGCCGCCGCTGGTCTTGCGCTTGAGGTAGGTCTTCGGCTTCTCATCGGGACCGTCGCTGCTGATCGTGGGGAGGATCTCGATGTCGGGAATCTGGCTGAGGCCGCCGCCGTCGATCTCGGTCTTCAACTGTGCAACAATCTCTTGGATGGCAACTGTGGTGTAACCAGCACCGCACTTGCTGAGAAGCCACTCAGGGACCGCGGTTCCGTTGAGCATGGCACCGTCGAGCTGCTCATCGTCCGACTCATCTTGGTAAGCGCGCTTCTTCGACTCCTTCTTGTCCTCCAAGCGCTTCTGCTCACGCTTGCGAATGGCCAAGGACCAACTATTGACGACTCCAGCCTTGCCGGCACGCTCGTTCTCGTCGCTCCATTGTTGGACGCGAGCGATCTGCTTCTGGACAAGGTCGACCTGAAGCTTCGAGTACTCGTGGGCGTTGCGGTAACGACTGCGCTGGTAGTGCTTGCGGCAGAAGTGAACCCAAACGTGAGCGGGAATCATGCGGGTGCAGAGCTTGTTGCGGCCGAAGATGTGGGAAATAGCCTTGCGAGGCTGGGATCCAGTGTCGCAGTTCTCGATGTACATGCACTTGATCTCATCCTGATTGGCCTGAGCCGGGGGAGACTCAGGAGGAGACATGGCGTAAGGTTGCTGAGGGGGGAAAGGAGCAGTCTCAGAGACAGAGGGGAACGGTTGGAAAGTAGGGGCAGAGATGGCCGCGAAATCGGGGGCAGAAACCGCGCGTTTGTGAGTTCTTGATTGAGGGTGATCCTGGGGAAGGGAAAGATAATGAAGGTTGTCTTGCTGCTGTTTTGAGTGAGGGCTGAGAAGTCAAATCGTCAGTAGAGTCCAGCTCAGATTGATTGTAGGTGTTTAGCAGAAGAAGATGGGCTGTTGCGAAGCAAGAGACGATTTAAGTAGGGCAGGAGAAAAAAGACGAAGTGATGCAGTGCGCGAGACAGTGATAGGTGCAGATGGGTGAATCGGGTGAGGTCCTCGTGGGCCTCAGGCGTTCGTCGAGATGAGACGAAAACCGCGGGAGCGCGTGACCACCAAATTTCATCGTTGGCGAGGGGAATCTGGCGAAGGTGAGGGAAGGAGCTACCGGTCAAAATGCTCTACATGAGGAAGGCGCGAATCATCCGCGTTAAATGGGATGGAATCGACTACGCCGTTCTTTCCCCTGGCTTCAACCCAAGTGGCTCTCGTTGTGACATGCAGGAAGTACGTGATGAGGCGGGAAGGTTGCGGAATGGGAAGTTATGGGGTCTTTCAACGTACCTCAACCCGTCCGTTGGACTTGATCTGTTGCTTCCCATGCCGCGGGTTATCAGAATCGCATCAGATGGGCTGCCCGGTCTGCCAGGTCCCTTCATGCTAGGGTCCAATGGAGGATCCTGGCCAGCCGTCCTAGGTGATGGCGGCTGGATGTCGACCATGGCAGGGCCCATATTCTGGTGGTCGAGCTTAGGGTCGAACGCCGGAACATCGTTCAGCAGCGATGTAAACGGCTGGATGCCGCTTACGGTTGATAATGATGATATCCTCGAATGGCCTCCTGATTGATTTGAAGATGTGTAGGATGACAGACTGCTGTGGCTGTCGGAAAACTTATGCTTTGGCGACTTGGGGAATCCGCCAGTAACATGCCCATCGTCTTCGCGTGGCAGGTTTGGTCTATGTCCTTGTCAATTCAATGCCCCAGAACAATGGCATGTTCACATCGTTGACGTTGCTGAAAGAAGTCCCAATCCAGCAGGCGGTGACTGAAGTGGGATGAACTTCACTGCAACGTCTCCTCGCGATAGAACCACCCAAAACATTGATCAACTTACCTTGCCGTCAACTGTCCTTCCGACTCACCAGACATACTGGGCCTAACAGATCGTTAGCTTGTGTCGGGAAAAGCTGCAATTGAGTTGAATGCGCAGAGTGGGCCACTCGAGTTGCGACTCCATCCTTCATCAAATCCCATCACCATCGACATGAAAGAGCAAAAGCGAGGACAATTGCGACAACGGAAAACTTCAAAGAGGACGCCACATACCGTCCAGGGTGTGTACTCGTCATCGGAGTAATGTTGGCGGAATGCGCCATCTCGTGTGCCAAAGAACTAAGAGAACTCGCCCTCGAGTGATTGCTGGACGAGGGATGGTAAGAGCTCGCGGAGGTTGACTGATCGACGTCGTACTCGCTATAAAATGCAGGCTTCGCAGAAGGGATGGAGAGCTTCGTGTCTACTGATAGTGATAATGGAAGAGAATAACCGCCCGCATCCCATGGCGTGCGGTTCCGCGGTGCTCGGGCGTCGCTGGTCCGCCTAGAAGAAGCAATCTTCTCCGGGGACGCAAGAATCGGGGTTGGTCCGTCGATGGGCGCAAATGTGGCTTCCAAAATGTTGTTCCTGATAATGGGCTTTTTTCCCGCGCCTGCGTTCAGTAGTGATGTCACGTCCATCGCTCAAGCGCGGACGACTGGGGAAAAGTTCTGTCGCCGGGGAGAATCCAGTTTGGCGATTCCTCGGGTTGATGTCGACAGATTTCCAAAAACCTCCCAAACTCTGGTCGTCCAGTTCTCCAAGTTCGCCTGATAATCGTGTGCTCGTCAAGTTGATGCCGACCCGGTTGCCTTAGTCTAGCTGTAGATAATCCTTCGCACGATGGTGACTCTTGGTCGTTATCGTCGTCGTCGTCTTTCTTTTTGTTGATAATGTCCGATCTCTAGGATCCAGTCCGATACATCGGATACTCGTCTGTACACCAAGGCTGCGTAGGTCGCACGACTTGGGGATGGGAAGGTATGGTGGCAGTAGTGAAGGGAAAGGTAAGGAAATGATAAGGTTGGTGGGAGATCCCAAAGCTTTTGTGTGTGGCGCCCGGGGGGCGGGAGGCAACAAGGGAAGGGAAGGGGTAGGACAGGAGGGCGATGACAAGTTAAGAAGCAAACGATAAGAATATCAGACCTATCGTTGGGATCGCCGTTTCAGAGTCGCACTGACAGTTCCAAAAGCGGATTGAAACAGCCGAAACACCTTCAAGCCGGCCAGTGGTGTATGTGAAGGGTCATCCGAAAGGGCTTAACACCGCTGCCTCTGAACACGCCAAAGTGGTTCGCAGCTGTCGGATCGACCTCGAACCGAGAGAAACAGAGAGGAAACGGTCCCTTTCCCGTAGCTGAAGTCTTAAGGCTGTACGATCAAGGGGTGATTTGAGGCAGTGTACTGCATGTATGTCGACAGAAGGAGATGTCGTTCGGGTCCGCGACCACGGCTTGCCGACGATGGTGTCGTTCGTGTCGTTTCCAAATGCTGGAACGTTTGACACGCCGAGACCGAGTCTCTTTCGGCCTCTTCTTCTTCGAGACGGTGGAAATAGGGAAAGACCAAGTCCGAGGTAAGCTCTCTCGTCTTGTGTCCTCGGGGATGTACTGGTCAACAACGGTGAATGCCTCGGCGAAGTTCGTCAAAGTTTCGTTTCGGGAACGCAGGTACTATCATGCCATGGATGAGGCACACGCCTTTGTTCAATATAACCGAATTGTGACAGATGTTGGCAGGCTTGAGAACAGATGCGGATGGTGATGGAAATGAGAGGGGGGAGTTCAAGGCCAATGTTCGGAAAGGTCAGGAAGAAACAAAGATAAGACGAATGGACAGCGAGAGACGGGGACGAGCCCGGGTAACCAGGGACACGAAGAAGTAGGGCTGTGCTGAAGAACGCATAAAGGGACGGTAGGGATTGAAGACGGTAGCTGTTTGGGAATCCGGGCGGAGGGTGTAGAGACGGTCAGAACAGAAGCAGTATCGAAGTCATGACTAGGTCAAGACGCCTGAGATGGGTACAGGGACGACGGATGGCTGGACCGAGCCCGGTTGCTGTCAGGTCAGGGCTTCAACGCGGGCTGGTTCACTTTCGAGAAAGAGAGGGACGACGAGACGACGACTAGGCTGGGGCAAGGCCTGAAAGCCGCAAGCAAGCATCGGAGGAAAAGATGGGGACGGAGAGGAGGCTCGCAACGGGAGCCAGCATGATCACTGTGCAAGAGAAGAGTGGGAGCTAGAGAATCTGATCAGAGTTTCCACTTGCGGCAACGCAAGGATGCTGGGCATTATGCGTTGAAGGGGAGGGATGTAGTCGATGTTTAGACTTCCCCACAGTAGGTTTGGGCGCGCCGGTGGGAAAAAAAGCCCCCGACTGGCCGCTGGCGCAACGAGGGTCCATGTGCTAGGTGCACTTCAAGGACAGGGGTGTCTGATGTCTGGTTGATTTGTGTAACTGGCACAAGAGGCGACAGCTTCTGGGCCCCGCTCCTAGCTCCGTAGGTTTTAGTATGGATGGTTGATCGCTCGGTGCCTTGTGCTGTGCTGTTTTGTGCTGTGCTTGCAGCGAGTCCGTCATTGGCCCCCAAATCCTGCTGTTGCCAGAGGACGGATGACGGACGCTCTCGCTCTGCGGCGGTTTGCGTCTTTTTGGTGGTGGGTTGCCGTAGGAGCTTGGCGTGCTCGCCGTTGCCGGTGACTAGGGCGACTCCCTCGACGTCGAGTTGTGCATCAGATTGGGCCGTAGCAGATCATGGCGTCAGATGCTCCGTCTGAACCATGATCTCCGCAGGGAAATCGTCCGGGCAGGGCTTAGATTTCCAAATAGCCAGCCAGGGCAGTGTGATAATAGGCATGATATAGGCAGTGGCAGGGCGGGTGGCATCTATCGCAACTCGGTGCCATTGGCGCGCTCAACTTTGACGGGGTCGCCAAAAAAACAACAAGCGTGGTTGTATGTGATGAAAGCCGCTGGTCCATACTGCGTAGTAATTATTGCGCCGCGGCTGCTCGGTTGATGCAAATGGGAGGCCCTGAGGCGCAGTTGTCCATCGATCTGCAAGCTGAGACCCGGGATTGGGCGTGAAACTTGTCAAGGAAGCACTCCGTTTGAAGTCACTGGGATCTGTGATGGAGTGGACCGTGGATGGGGACAGGGCTCATGTGTGCGATCTCTGACCGGATTGGTATCTGACCGTGGGCGAGAGGGGCCAAATTAGCACACCAGGCCACGGGCATGTGCAGTAAAATGTTCAGTCGGTCGGGAGATGCCGAAGCGAATGCTGGGGCTGCTGACTTGCCAACCTGTGTCGCTCGGTGGCTACCGCATCTGGTCTTCCGCTGTCCGTCGTTACTCTTGGCTGTCAAACCCGCGGGTAATTGCAAGGCAAATCTCTGTTTGATGGATGGTGCTGGATGATACCGTAGAGGCGATTTGGATGGATGCAAGCGACCAGGTGAAGAGAGCAAAACCACATGGCTGGGCGCACGAGGGGAAGCCACAAGGCGGCCGGCAGAGGCGACGGACCCCGCCAGCGCCAACTACCAACGGCCGATTGCTTCTTTGTCGCCATTGTGCGTGTGGTAGTGTGCTTTGTGCATGTGTTGCTGTTGCAATATACAACGGCGCCGCAGCCACGCGGCGCATTGGGACAGAGATGCCGGCTTGATCTTACAAGACCTTCGGGGGAGAGCAGGATTCGAGCTCAACTTTGGCAGTCTTCTGGTGTGTCTCATGTTCTCGACCACCGCTAGACGTGACGCCAGCCCGTGCTCTGGTCGTAGAAAACGTCTCTGCTGTCTGTGAACAACCATCCATCTCACTTCCCAACACGAGGTCGGGTGGGGTCTGTGTTGATGGCTGATTGTTTGAGTTGCGATGCCTTTCCCGACTCTCTCAAGGTAGGGTAGTTTTTGGTGTTTGTTTGCGTTGTGCTGCGGCAGGCGTTGCTAAGGCTTGGAACTCGGGGCGGTCCATGGCGATGGACAATGCGCCATAGCGCATCGAGCCGGTGGGTGAGGTGTGCGAACTGGCGGGAGACGGACGATTCCCATTTGCTTTACCATCCAATGGCGCACGAACCCAGGCACACTGTTGCTCTGGGCGGCCGCTTGTCGACTGCGGGTGTTTAGTGTCTTGTTCGCAGTTGCACATTCGGAACGCATATGCATATGCCTGGAAGTGTGTTAATGCCCAGGACCGCCTCCTGGTGAGAGATGGCGCATTTGTCCAGTGCAATGGTTTCTTTCGGCACGCTTATCAGACAGCACAACACAAGCGTCAGCGGCCTCGATGTGGTTTTGGCAGACGAAACCCATGGGACGGCATCTCGTCACCAGGCTGTCACTCTGGCATGCCACTCGGATAGCAAGGTTGTGACCCCTGTCCTGTGATGCAGCTCATGGTGCTAGACAGCGCGCAAGACAAGACGAGGCGCTGGCTTGTCCAGCGCATCACATCAGTTGTAGGCTATCTCGAACCAGCGATTGAGACGATGCGCTCCGTTATCGACGCCGTCTCATCATGTATAGTAGGGGCAGTATTAAGGACTGGAGGATCCTGTACGTGGCGGACGTAATACCATAGATTGAGGTGCGCGGCGTGGTTTGCGCTCAAGAGTAAGGTACCTAAAGTTGGTGGTTAGTACGGCGCGGGTAGGTAGAGACGGCGACTGGTATCGTGGGCGCAGGTCTGGCAGTGTGGGTGGCGGCGCGGACTGATGTGCTGCAGGGAATGGCATAGCAGGCAGGGCGTTTGCTGCATAGAAGGACAGTAGGGCTCGAGGGGATATTGGACAAGTTCGGGCATCTCGATACGTAGCCGGGTGACGATCCATGGGTGGGCGTGCTGGGGGGGATGCGCGATTTGCGATTGGCTCGTGGGAATCTGCCTCCACGTTTCAAGACGGGGACGCTGCAAGGTGGGATGGTGAGATGTGTCGAAGGAAGGGGGTGACGGGCAGGGAAGCATGGGCAGCATGGGATGGAACAGGGTGAGGTGGGTGGTGCCGTGGGTGGTGGTCGGGCTGGTATGGACGAAGTTGTATCGGTCCTGCGTCGGCATTGGCTGCGCAGCGAGTGAGATGCATACCTAGGACGGTTTGTATCAATGATCAATGGCGCGGCCGAGTGGCCCGTCGCGTGGCAGAGAAGTAGACTTGGTGGCGCTGATGACATGGTCGTCTGGCAGATAGACGAGGGTGTTGACGTTCTCCGTCGTGGTGACTGCAGATAGATGCATTGTAGATGAGGGAGTGATGGGACCGATACAGTCCAGTCCAGGCTTAGGATGACGAGGCGAAGATGGATCCCGGATGGCAGTGTGGTAGTCGGTGTTGCTCCCGCGGCCGCTGCATCACGACGGGGTCGGTCAGGGTGTGTGTCGTGGGTAGATGGAGAGATGGATTGACGGATGGCGGGGCGCGCCAAAAGAATCAGATTGTGCATGAGGTGAAGAGTCCAGACTTGGGAACTGGCTCCTTCCTGGGGCCTGGCGACAGCGGCGTCCGTCAGGAGGACGGGGGGAGGACGAGGGAGGGGCATGGTCTGGGATCGGGGCCAGGTCCGGGGGCTGGCGGGATGGAGGTTTGGAGTTCAGGTGCTTTACACGGGCAGGTAGTGAGTGTACTTGATAAGTTGAGAATAGCAAAAAGGCGGAAGGTGCAAGCAAGGTGCGGGCAGGGTAAGGCCTGGAGATGGATCATGGACGAGGTGGAAGCTCTCCGGGCTGCGTGTTCTCTTGTCAGCCTCCCAGGTCAAACCCTCTACTTGGAGCCCATGGTGGGACGACGAGACGCCTCCTTCCGTGGTCCGTCGCCCGTCATCCGTCGTCCCCATGTGGGTGTTGCAGCTGAAGCCCATCGTCTCCACAATGCCCATGGTGCCTTCTTCCCTCACCCAGGGTGATCGTGGACAACGAGAGGCAAGTGACGTCCTCTTTCTCTCCTTCTTTTTCTGTTGGACCACGGACGGATATTCTGGTCGAGTGGGCGGGGCAGGCCCGACGCCGGGCTCTTTCCCAGAAAGGCCAGCCATTCGCAGCTGCTGCCATTGACGCATGTTATGGACCCAGGGGCCGCGGATATGTGGAAGGAAGGCATCACTTTCATCAGTCATCAATCAGGGCATCAGCATGGACAGCCAAATTGCCTCTGTGGCTGCCGGGCTCAGCAGGACGCAGGCGCAGCTGCTAGCCACAATGCGGTACAGGCATAAACCTCACCAGAACACGGCATAAGAGGCGAAATATCACACTTGTCCCATCTTCCATCGTCCAATCCATCCATCCGTCAACTCATTCGTTCATTGCAACTACCGGACTTAAACGCAAGGCACATACAACACGACACACACCTCGAATTTACCTTATTTCATCACACAACAGCTCAAGGTGGCGCTCTAGCCAAACCATACCAGCCCACCATCAGCCTTTTAGCGTACTTAGCCAGGGCCGCTGGGAGGGGTGCGCCATCAATCACCGCATTCCAACCCAAGACTCACTCAATCACTGCACAAAAAAAAAATAATGAAGGAGACGGACGATGAGCCCGGCAGTACGAAGCTAGAACACCACCTTCTCAGAGACACCACCGACGGGGAGCCTTCTGTGGACCCGGCCGGGTTCTTTTGTGGGTCCAGACTGCCCCCCCAAAAAAGCTGCACATGTTTCAGCTGATGTCCACTCCTCTTGTCATTGGAGACAGAATGGAACCTTGCCTGGAAAGACTCAGGAACAACTCCAACGGTCACCCCAGGTCCCGGTCGCACCTTTGCCGCACTGCGCTTCTGCTGTTCTGTTCTTGTTCTGGCCTGCTCTGCCTTGTGCTGCGCTGACCTCTCTCTGCCTGTCGCTCAGCGCAAACTGCGAACAGAACACCTGGGCTGCGCCAGAATCCGTCCAACACCGCACTTCAGCATGCTTTGCGCGCTACTTTCTGCTCCAACATGCCCTCTTTAGGCCTAGTCCACGCGGACACCCTCGACATCCGGCCACCGGACTTTGGACGAAAGAACACAGGATGCGAGGTCCGCGAGGCTGTAGAGTCAAAGCCGAAGCCATGTTCGAAGCCTTCAAGACGGAGCCAAAACGCTACAGGCAACAAACTGCGCAATGAACAAGGTCAGCACCCCGAGCCCGCAAGTAATACGATGCGAACTTTGTCAGACAAACGGCAAACTGACGCTGACGCGCAGACGCTCAAGCTTTCCACTGCAGAACCAAACACCCGATGATGATACTCGAGGTACCTCAGATGCCCACCACTTCAGAGCATACATCCAAACCATACCTCCAGAACATACCTCGTGTTTCCCTTGCCGTATTCCACATCACCGTTTTCGCTTTGCTTTCTCTGCTCTGCCGTGCCGCTGATACCGATACTGCCACTCGTGTTGTTGGCTGCGCGCGCCAAACGCAGCATAATCATCAGCATCATCATCGCACCCGTCATCGGCTTCGGCCCCTAAAAGATGCACTAGCCAGCTGTTCGCTGACGGACGACGCCTTCCCGCCTAACCGGTGACCTCCTTTTCCTCACCTTGTACGTGTTTCCCTCGCTGACGAAAGTCGGTGAGCACAGGCATCCATCACACACGTTGCGATGGTCCCGTCTGCGAACTAGAGACGACGGACGCCACTTAGCGCCAATTTCGAGGCCTCAAGTAAGGTGCCCTGGGTAGCAGCTAAGGTGCCTCCATCTTGGCTTCCGCTAAGAGATGGGTTGACGGAGAGGGGATGCGACGCAAACTCGGCCCACGGAAGCTTGGGTCGACAAGGTCTAGCTCCAGGGCCCGACCAGGTACATCTCCGTGTACCGCCACCATGCCGCCGCATTCTTTCCCCGGCTCCCAGCTGCCAGACCTCGCAGGCGACGAACACCAAAGCAGCGCCTTGGACCTAAGCCAAGCCGCGGGCTAAACGGATGCCCTACGACACGCCTTACGACACGCCGTCTATCCATGAATACAGACGACGTGCCGCGGTCTAGGTTGAGGCAATTGTTTGTTGGCTGTTTCTGGTTTTCTGAAGGCCTCAGTCCTCGGTCTCGGGCCCGACGATGCAGCGCAAACGCGGACGAGACGACCTGTCTCCAGGCCTCTCTGCAGCCCGCAGACCAGCCCACACGGCCAGCCAACCTCTGACAAGGTCTGCTGCAGGGTGTCATCCCTGCGCCGATCATCTCGAGGCGACACACTCACGAGCTTGCACCCTCGGACCCTGGTCTCGAGTGATTTACAATGGTTTCATCTCAACTTTTGCCCTCTGCACTAACGCCATCATGATACGGGCAAAGACTCGGGACCTGCTCCAGTACCACTCAAACCGAAGCCACGGTCACTGCCACTGCCACTTGTCGCTGTCATTTGCCAGCACGAGCTTCTCCGCCTCCTCCGTCCCCTCCCACCATCTCTGGTCTTGCTGTTTTTTTGCCCATCCATCCCTTGCGGATCTGGCTGGTGGCCCCAAGAGTTCGAACGATGAGGGGACGGGGAGCATTCTTCAGCGGCCTGTTCCTTGCGGCTGCGACGCTGGAAAGTCGTGGACCGACGCCGTCCCAAAATTCGCATGCAAACTGCAAACACGCTGCAGTAGGCCCGGCGGCGCCCCGAATCACAAAATATTCCGCAACGCCAGTGAGCCCAGCACGCGCCAGTACGTGCGAGCGGTCGGCAGAGGCGTGTCAGGTGCCTGCAGTGGGAGGCCGCTAACGTTAAGGTTAACCAACTTTGGTCTGGCTGCGCCTGGCCTTCTGCGAGCTCTTTACATGCGTTGGAGGCACTGGCATGCAAGTTCCTTACTCTTTGCTCAACGCTATATGATCATCTACTCCGCAGTACCAAGTACAGAGCGAGTGAGAGAGAGAGTTGTACTTGGTGTGGTTGGAAGGCCTCGCCACAGTGTGTCTGGTGTGGCGTGGCCCATCCAACATGCACGACACGACGGTCAACTCATCTTCTCTGCCCCATTTCCGATCCCGTCTCTCAGCGTAAATCGGCCGTCAGCGTGGCCAGATTAGCGAGTCAGGAAAAATGTCCGTGGTGTCAAGCCAAATCGACGGAAGCCCAGAGTTGATCTGTTGCCGGACCGCCATCGGTCTATTCAGCCGCTATCTCATCCTCCGCCAGATCCTCCAATTTCCATCCGCTCCTTAAGACAAACGCCGCTGCCGATTATAGAAGATTCGAAAACTCCATCCAGAGGCCCGTGGCATAGACACCTGTCTGGGCAACGTTATTTTGTTTCATTCCATTTCGTATTCTGGAAGCGAGGCCCTCGGCCTGGCCCATTGTTGTGATTGCGACCGCTTGAGACAATCCCAACGTCGACTCTTCTCCCTCCTTCCGAGTCAGTGGTCTGTTGCGTCGTAGCGTTACGGTGCGTCTCGCAGGCAACGCAGCATCCAACCATCAAAGAGAGATTTTGTCTTCAGTCCTCGCTGCTCTTTGCTGACCCCCCTTGCATCGACTGTCCGGGAACTTCAGACGTGAACAGATGTAACACCACCTTTGCTCTTCTCGTTCGGGATGGCGGTCTCTTTTTTCCCTCTCTACAATACGGTGATTTAAGGTATTACATGTGTCATCGTCCGATGGCGAAACGCCCAAAAGTTGGGAGCGCGGCGAAGCAGGAGGCAAATTTGGCGTCCGATTGTTGCGCTCGATCCCTTTCTTTGATTTTGTGATCGCATCGGAGGCCTGGTCGAGCTAGGTCATGGCAGCTTCGGCGCTTCGGTCTGAACTTTGTCTCTGAGGCGAAGAGATGCTCGCACACACTCACACACATGCTATGTACACACACACGTAGAAACACTGCTGATTTAGACTTTTGTGACATTGATATGACGATTGCGGTAGCAAGAGAAGAGCAGCGGCCTGGTCCGTGAGACTGAAGAATGGTGGCGAAACCGAATAAGAGACGACATGTGCTGGACGGGACGCCGAGACCACGCTACCACGTATCTGTTTCCTCCCCGCGGCCCGTCTCCGCGATGGAACCCCGGAGCCGAAAATAAGACGTCCCCGTCTGCTCCGTTCCGAAAACGCATCCATCAGGACGTCGGCAGCCCCGCGGGCGGCCGCAGACCGTGATATGTCCCCCAGAGCAAGGCTCACGGATAATGTAATCAATTCCTATTTTGTCCTGGAGGAACACGCTATTGTCATTTTTCTTATCCTTGAAGGGTTCTTGATTGAATGGTCGTTTAGGCAGCCACATTTGGCGCGCTTGTCGGGGTGTGATTGGCCAGGGAGGCGGATTAGCGTCTCACGTAATGTGATGGGAAGAACAATGAGAATAGGGGGGAAGTCTAAATGGACTGAGATGATGGGAGAGATTTCGATGACTGAAGCGGATTGAGTGACGTCCATCCTTCTTTTCTCGTGTGTGCTGAGGTATTACGAAGTCGTGTCGATATCTAGGTTTTTCACCTCTCTCGTGTTGAAGTCGGAAGGTTTCGTCCAGCTACGGTTTACACCATGTCCGACAACACGACACCGCCACCGCCGCCGCTCCGCGTCAACGTGGCGATCCTGTTCATGGGATCCCGGGGGGACCTGCAGCCCTCGATCGCGATTGCTAGAGCACTGCAGCGGTCCGGTGGGCGGTACCGCGTGCGGGCGCGGATCGCGACGCACCCGCCGTACCGGGCGGCCGTGGAGGCGGCGGGGGTGGGGTTCTACAGCATCGGGGCACGGTGCGATATCAAGCGGATGATGGCGCGGCGGCTGCTCCCGCGGGAGGAGCTGAAGAGGGAGGTGCCGGAGATTAAGCGGGAGTTTGGGGAGATGGGGGCGCGGTGGTGGGGGGCTTGTGTTGATGACGGGTATGAGGGGTCTGGGGAAAGGAGAGATGATGGAGGAAGAGAGGTGGAAGAGGAAGAAGGGAGGGAGGCGGGAGGGTTCGTGGCTGATTTGGTTGTCTCGACGATGCAGGTTTTCGTGCAGACGTCGGCGGCGGCGAGGATGGGTGTGCCGTTGCACTTGTTTGGTATGAACCCGAGGATATACTCGAGGGAGGTACCGCATAGCCAGGCGGGGTGGGCGGTTGGGAAAGGGGGGCTTGTGAGGAGGGCGAGTTGGTGGGTGCAAGATTTGATGTAAGTCTTGATCCCTTTCATATTGTCGTTTTCATCTTTTTGGGGGTTTTGTGGAGGGGAGGAGAGTTGATATTGGGGTTGCGGTTCGCTATAAGAGATGGGGAAGGACTGGCATGACTGGGAATGATTCACTAACAGACACGGCAAAGGTTCCTCCAAGCCATGAAGGCCGTAATCAACACCACCCGCCGCGGCATGGGCCTCGAGGACTTCTCGCCCGCGTGGTGGCTCTCGCAGTTCAACCGCCTCCGCGTGCCGTGCACATATCTCTGGTCGCCGCTGCTGCTGCCCAAACCGTCCGACTGGGCCTCCAACATCTCCGTCGCGGGGTTCGCCTTCGAAGACGTCTCTGAAGGTGACTTTGTCCCGCCCCCTGATTTGGTCAAGTTTCTCGAGAAGGGCCCGCAGCCACCGGTGTATGTCGGCTTCGGGAGCATGACCTTCGCCAACGCGGCGGACGTGTTTGGCGTTGTGAGGGCCGTGGTGAGGGAGTTTGGGCTCCGGGCGGTTGTTTGTAGGGGGTGGAGCGGGGTTGTGATGGATGAGGGTGTGAGTGAGAAGCGGGAGAAGGAGGATGATGTGTTTGTGGTGGATGATGTACCGCACGCGTGGTTGTTTCCGCGGGTCAGGGCGGTGGTGTGCCATGGCGGCGCCGGGACAGTTGCGATGGCCCTGCGGTGCGGACGGCCGACGCTGGTGGTGCCTGTGGCCGGGGACCAGCCGTTTTGGGGCAGCCGGGTGGCGGAGGTCGGATGTGGGCCGGCGGTTGAGTTCGGGATTGCGGCGATGACGAAGGAAGGGTTGCGGGGGAAGCTTGGGGAGGTGCTGGAGGAGCGGTATGCGGTTGCGGCGGGGGAGTTTGGGAGGCGGGTGAGGGCGGAGAGGGATGGTGTCGAGGGGTTTAGGGAGGATCTGGAGAGGAGTTTGGCGGTGTATGAGGGCTTGCGGTGTGCGGTGCTGAGGGATAGGGTCGGTGTTTGGAGGGTTGGGGGCGTGTTGGTGAGTGCTGTTGCTGCGGAGGTGTTGATGAGGGAAGGGCGGATGAGGAGGGAGGAGTTGAAGGCGTTGGAGGCTGTGAGATGGGGGGATCTGGTTGCGCCTGGGGATCCGGTGAGTGGTTTTGTGATGGGGGTAAAGGGTGTCGGGAGAGGTGTGAAGAAGCATTCTCAGGAGAAGGCTTGGGCGTTTGTGGTGCTTCATATCCTCAGAGGTGAGTCTGTGATGCTCTGCTGTTGGGGTTTTGCTGACGGTCATGGGTAGCGCCGTTGATGATCCTGGCGGGGCTCACGTTTGGGATGTTTAATCTCGTCGACTTTGTTCTATGGGAGATGGCTTCCCCTATTGAGCCAAAGCTCTATGCTAGCAACCCCAGATTGTATAGCTACGGGCAGATGCTGGGTTTCTTGGTGGTTGCGCCGTGGAAGGAGTTGCAGAGCATTGCATATCAACCAGCAGAGCTGAAGAAAGGGGGGAGAGGGGTGGGGAGAGTCATTCTGGAGGCACCACTGGCCATTCTGAGAGTCTTGGTAGCACTTGTCAACATTCTCGTCGGGTTCATCGGTATCAGTTTGCGGATAGCGGATCTAGCATGTTCGAAAGCGATGGGCGAAAGGGATGACAGAGATGTTGTGGCTGAAGCCAGGTTAAGGCAGGGTAGGATCGAGGCCGAGGAACTCGCGATCGAGAGAACCGAGGAGGGCGGTGACTTGACAGTTGAAGTCCTCCAGGCGTGGGATGCAAAGTCATGAGACTAGCTCCTTATCTCACCCTCGATGCCCGAACCCAGGCACATCGTCCGATCGGTCACCTCCTCGTCTCGACTTTTGGTCACCTCACACATCCCGTTCGTCTAGATACACGCTGCAGGTTCCGGCTGTTGCACGACATGCAGTGAAGCACCCGGGAGGTGGGATATTCTCCGAAGGCGTGTGCGAAGGAAACGGCCGGCGGCAAGGGAAAACGCATGTCTCTGCTGTCGTGCGACGCATGCGGCCTGCCGCGGGTGTATTTGGCCACGTCAACATCCGAGGGTGCTGTGCAGTTCTGGTGAGGCTGTCGACGCGGGAAGTTTTCGGGTTCGGGGGCTTTCTTATTGCCATGTGGGCGTTTTTGTCTGTTTGTGTTGTGGGACGTGATCGGTGTAGGAGACCGGTGCGTCGATGAGGGGGATGCTTGGTTTGTTTGTCAGCGATGGGGTTTGAAAGACGTCGGATGTGGAGGTGAGGTTTATCGTGATGTAGTAATGTTTATGGTGTGATAGACGAATTGGACGTTGTAAATCCGCAACCAATTCGGGATCATCCCAACCTTCAAGCCAATGAGATGAAGTCGCCTTCGGAGGGGTTTAGAATGCAGTGAAGTAAGCTTGTGGTTCGTGATATGGCACTTACATGTCGAATGACCAATTACCATTGCAGAGCGCCTCTTCACCCTGAAAAGCTTGCAGCAATTAGCAGCGGCGTGGGCAACATGTGGAGCGCGAACAAAAGTACGGCCATATGAGAAGCTTAATCCGGAGTCCGTGAAGTTAAGAGATTATCACAATCCGGCTCTGTGGGAGTGATTATGGCTGCCATGAGTTTTGCATTGAAAATATCTATTGCATTTGGTTCTTGGATATCTGAGCTGAAACTGATAATATATGGGGTAGCACGCAGGGCTTCATGTTCTCTGTTTCATTCTTTACTTGATGCGATGGTGTTGAACTCGACCTTTCAAATCCCGTTCGCGGTGTCCGGTAGACTGGCAAGGGATATATAAGAAGGGTTGAGCCAGGGTTTACTTACTTGCATATACGCGGCATCAGATTCGAGATAGTCGCTGCCTAGTTTCTTCAGTCATCTCATGGCCCTGAGTATAAGAATGGGACATGCCATGTCTAGAGGAATGCTGTTCTTTCGCTCAGGACATGACAAGCCCGCCCCAAAGGACATATCTGAGACCTTATACACTGAATGATTCGGTGTTGAAAAGAAGGATGACTGAAAGTGATTCGTGCTGATTACAGCTGCGCGGTCTATGAGAACAGAGTAGATATGTTCAGTGACCATGGGGGCCACTTCCTTGCTTCGAATGAGGACAACTACGTACATGGTCACATTCCATCTGTCTTTGTAGCTTCAGCGCAGATTGAGAATGAAAAGCTGCTCACATATACCTCAGGCTAAACTATGAGTCAGTACTTGGGAATTAATGATGCTAGAAACCGGGTCTTTACTTCCGGTTTTGGCGACGTAACGTCCATCTTGGTTCCTTCAATGATTTCATCGACTGACCACGAGAATAGCTTCAAACTCATACTATCTCATACCATTCGCGGTCTAGAGTTATGAATAGTTATTTCAGGCACAAAATAATAAAAAAGGGTTGAGAATGATGTCTTGTTCATCGAAGATCTTCAACATGCAAGGACATTTGGACCATTACCTGAGTCCCATGCATCGGTAATCCATGTGAAAGCCTCCTGATAATAAAAATCCTCATCAAAAATCACTTAGATGAAGTCAGCGTGAAGATTTTGCTGTTTACAATGACCTACCATTTTGAAGCCAGGCACAAGACCTCCGGCAGCGAAAGCAATGCCCCTTGTCTTGGGCTGGCTGTGTTCTCGGTCTCAACTCTCAGTGGACATTTCGCGTCTGGTAAACGACTACCCCAGAGAGGTATTTCATTGCCGGACTTGGGATGACAGTTTCCGAAGTTCTCTTCCGTCGTCATACCCGTGGGACGAAGGCATGGCATGCCAGGCCAATTTCAAACCACCCAGGTGTGTTTCGACACATAAGCTCATTGCAGCATTGGGTTTCTCAAATTTCAAGAAGACCATAGCAAACATATATGATCCAAATGAATCACTCTATGCCTTTCCACTCTTGAAAGCTACCTACTGTTCGTCACGACATGGGGGGGCAGATATGCATCTATGAGGTACACCACCCCACTATGCATATTCGGCGTCCGCGCCATCGCATAACGCCTAACGCGACCCCAGCTTAACAACGCGCCTGCCCAGCAATCATCGACGTCAACTCCTCAAGCCACCCGCCATCATCATCGCAAGAACCGCTGACACCCCGATTCTGCATGCTCACCAAAAATTGGCCGAAATGAAAGCATTGCGCTGCATCGTCAACGCCTCACGACGACCACGCCGCGGCCCTTTTGGCTGACCTGACAATGACGCAACCACCACCATCAGTCCGTCTCCCATCCTGCGAGATTCTGCGTGTCTTCCGCTAACCTGGCGCTCTTGCAGACACCTACCCCTCGAAAGTTCCTCCTCACAAAGCGACCGCCTCTGTCACAGAAGACACCAGGTAGCGCGGGTCCCGCGTTCGCGAACAGCCAGCGCTTCCAAGCCACGCCCCGATTTGCCCCGCCATCAACGAACCGCCCTTCGACACAGCGGCCGCCCACTACACCTGGCTTTCCCGGTCCAATACGGCCACCGAGACATATCGATCCTATCCACGATGCGTTGGAAAGCTCGCCTCCAGAAGGGCCCGCCACGGTGACGCGACCGCGATCGACCTTTGCAGGCACGCAACGAGTGAAGGAGAGAATCCAGATCGAGTCGGACGACGAGAGCGACTTGCACGACGGAGAGATACCTGCACCGCGGGCTACGGGCTTCTCGGTTAATGACTCGATTGAAGCCGAGTCCGAAGCGAGTAGTGACGTCCAGAGCGACCTGGAGGAAAGGGTGCCCAAACGGAGGCGTATCTCTGTATCTTCAGTGCCCAGCTGGCACGATGATGCAGAAGATCATTTTGAAGCCAACCCGAAAGAAGATGATGAGGTTCATGAAGTTGCGCAAGAGGAAGAAGAGCTCCCAGACGCAAATGACCGCATGCTGGTTGACGCTGAGGACGTCCTGATGGACGAAGACCCTGGTCTACCTGAACCAAACGACGGAGAAACCGCCAAGACACAACCGAAGTTCCACCAGGCCCCGCGGTTCAAAATCGCAGAAACCGAAGGTCCGCGACAGGAAGGGTTGCCGGAAGCATTCTCACCGCAACGCCGAGGCCCGAAGTACATCGCCGGCGGACTCGCTGCTGAACTGCAGTCCTGGCTCGCAGAGGTTAAAGGCTGGGGCGGGGGTGACCGGCCCGCTGATCTGGTCATGAGTATTATCATTGACGAGATCTCGCCTGGAAATAGGATGTATATTGTCAAAGGGCGCAGGATTATCGACGATGGGGAGATGAGGGAGGAGATTGCGGCCAGGTTGATGCTGGCTGGGGAGGGGAGGCTCACCGGCCTGGGGCAGAAGGCGCCTGTGCTCGTTGGAAGTGTTGTTTCTATCTCGCAACCTGCTTGGGAGGTAGTGCTTGGAGAGACGAGGTGGCTTGTGGCATGCGATTGGGCCATATACTAAGCGCCTTTTAGCAGCTGGCAAATGCTTTCTGAAAAGTTGAATGGCAAGGCAGATCTCGGTCTCCTACTAAGGTCTGCATCCCTGGGTGATCGAAGTAAGAAGTCAGTATGTCTTCGCTTGGGTAGGATAGGTGACCTCCATTGCGGCGAATGTCCTTTTCGGACAGTGCGAAGATTTCTCTCTGTGGTTCGCACAGGCGGCATGCATCTGCAGCGACATGGGTAAGGCAAACATGATATACCGGTTTTGATAGGAGTTTGCATTCCCGGCGGCGTGTAGTCGCTACCCAATGAGCGGGTTGTCATAGGCGCTGCGCTCCATACTGTGCCCCGCGAGATCAGGCTGCGTTCCCCCCTCTTTCTCTCATTACCCGACTTCCCGAACAAAGCTCGCACCAAAGCCTCCAAACATACAAAGATCTCTAATAACCTCTCTGATGGATCGATCTTGCTGAGAACGCAAGCACGATGGACCCATTGTCAGTATTGGGGGTTATTGGCAGTGCGGTTGCAACAGGCAGAACTATCGCGACCATTCTCCAAGACTGTTGCGATGCACGAGACGACCTCATCACGGCAAAGAATCAGGTTACAGATCTCCAATGCGTTCTCGATCAACTGAGACCTACAGAAGATGGGGGTTCCCGTCCGAAAAAGCTCACGAAGGCCACGAAACGCTGCGGCAAAATCCTTTCCAAAATCGATGAACTCTTGGAAGAGTATAGGAACAAGAGACTACGATGGGCTTTTCGCGACAAAGCTAGGCTTGCGGAACTGCAACGAGATCTTGAGGCTTCCAAGTCGACATTGCTAATCTATATTAACAACAATACCAACGACAAGGCCGATCGGGTGTATGATCTCTTGGTTACCAACAATACCAACGACAAGGTCGATCGGATGTATGATCGCTTGGGCGACGTAGAAATGAAGCTTGATGCTCTGGCCAACTCCAACAACTCGAGAGGTCCGCCTCTGGCGCTTCCGCCATCACAAGGTACTCCGTCGAGTGAACCAACTCCGCTGCCTCTTCTACTTCAAGGCGTTCCCTTGATGGGGTTCCCTCCGTTACCACAAGCCTCAAGTGTGCCAGGCCATCTACCTCCGCCATCACAAGGAATTCCCTCAGCTTCTCAGCCGCAAGGGATTCCCTCGAGAGCACCAATTCCATCACAACAAGGCATTCCTTCAAGAGGAGCCATCCCATTACAACCGGGTATTCCTTCAACAGCACCAGTTCCATCGCGGCAAGGCATTCCTTCAAGAGCACCACTTCCATTGCCACAAGTTATTCCTTCAAGAGGACCACTTTCATTACAACAGGTAGTTCCTCCAAGGGGACCCATTCCACCACAGCAAGGCATTGCCTCGGCTCCACCACAGCAAGGCATTCCCCAAAGAGGACCGCCCCCGCCGCCACGGGTACCTCAGACAAACCCAAACCTACAATACGGCGTCCATCAAAACCCTTACAGTTCTACGACCACGCCTCTTTGGCCACAGCCGGCACAGCCGTCTCACGATAGAACAGCGTTCCATACAGCTCAGTGACCTACGTTTCCAGTCCCTAACTCTTTTCCCCTCAGCCAGAACGCTCCTCAACAAGGACCGGGCTCGTGGCCGGGAGCAGGTGTACAACGGCAGCAACAAGCCACTGGGCCTACGGGAACCCCACTGCTGTAGATTTCTCGTTTCAGCTTGACGCAAATGGGCTCGGCATCTCTGAACGCCCCAATACATGGGATTGACCGTTCACCAATGAAGCTCACTACGAGCGAAGTTTATAAGCTTCAAATCTTCCGAGTCCACAGTGTTATGTCAAGGAATTAACCGCATCCATCTCTGGAGCGGATAGATAAATGTGAGAAGAAGGCGAGGCTCGAAATTGTGCTGTGAAGGTGATATCACGCTTTCTCATCACGCGGTCCAATAAACGAGTGGAACCCTGGGAGATTCTGAACATCGTCCGGCCTTGGTGGTGTTTCGCTTCTCATTATGGGAATGGGGAAGCACGCTAAACTACTAGATCATGACAAAGGGGAGATGCGGCACGCTGGACGTGCGATCACGGATGTACGACTCATGGGATTTGGATGGGGCAATGATAACAAGACCTGCAAAAGGATGGACATGAGCTTGGTGGGAAGGACCTCGCGGTCAGTCTCTAGAATTCAAATCTGTCTGCAAGATTGATGGTGGGAGCACAAAAAGTGAACAGAGAATGTTAGTAGGCGTGACAGATAGGGTTATCGAACTTGCTTGCGCTGTTTTTCCCGATTTCTAATATTCAAGATACATAGTTACGTGACACTCGTCAATCTCAGCCTTGGTCTCATAGCGCATGGTGCTTGTAGAGGAAATAGGCCAGGAGGCGATAGCATCTCAGTGCAAGCAGCGTCCAGATGCAGGCTACCTAGAACGCCTATCAGGCATCTAACTTCTAGTTTATAAATAACGTGCCGCATGCTAGACCCTGCCTCTTGGAGTCCAAAACATCACTTCGTAAGTCTTTTTTATTGTCAACTATCCTGTAGGACTATTATTAGAACGATCTGCAATCGGTGTTTGAAGAACAAAAAAGGTGGGAACGGTGTTCTTTTGGCGGTGAAGAGGGCTTGGGGTCATCATGAAAAGCCCTCAGCTTACGCTGAAAGAGTTGACGATGATAAGAGGGGAAGTGGAATATCATTCGACGAAAGCACTATCTTCCATGATAAGTGAGACGCAACTTAGCATCTGCCTCCTGGGTTCGACTGCACAAAGTCTAGAGCTTTCATATTGGCAGTCAAGGCCACCTTTGACCCATCCAGCGCCTCCTGAGCTTGTGAGGTTGAAGTAACGCCTGGCGGATCATTACTCAACTGGGCTTATATGCTGCAAATTTTGAACGGCAAAGAGCAGAGCAATCCCCAGAGAGTGGGCTGGGGAGCGAAGCATATGTGCCATGCTCGCCTGCGCTCTTTTTGACCGTCCCTTGAGGCATTCGATCAAGGGTAGAGGCATTTGATCACAATTGCCGGGAGTTTTGGCTTTGAAAGACTGAAATAGGAGCAGCATAGCAAGCCTTGCACGCCTACGGAGGGCATACCATTCCTGTCACCCGTGGGCAAAAGGTTCGACCATTTTGCAGATTCTCGTGGGGTTCCATGCGCTAGAATGTCATATCAAGTCTGCTTTGGTAGGTCATCGACAGCAGGCTGCAGAACACAGCGCACGCATATCCATCCATATTCATCGCTCACCCATTCTCATTGGACAGCCATACACTTGCGGTACAGCCCCAAATATAGAGTCGTTACCCCTCCTCAATGGCCAGTCTGGTCTCTATTACGAGACTTTTCTTTGATATGCAAGATACGCTATCTGTTGCAGCGAGCTGCAGTGATTTCTTGCAGTCTTTCTCGACTACTAATCTCCATCTAGATCACCACCAGATTGCTGGTCCCTTCGTGCATGTACAGCCTGACTATCACAACACTTCACACGTTGGTAATCTTTCAGATGACCTCGGCTAAGCCACCGTTCAAGATCCAATCGGATCTATATCGCTGACCCGTTTTCTGCCGTAATTGATGCCCGATCGTCGAGACGCCTTCAGGCTCCAACCCCTCCGTCCACCCATCCCTTCTGTTCTGTCTCTCGCTACCATAGCGCTCGGCGATTCAGATCACTATCGTCGCGCTCCCAGATTCGAGAGCCCTCTTATGACAGATAATTAGAGGCGTTGAGCGCGCATTGTCCCTGTCGCCCGGGTTCCGCACAGGAACCAACGATGGCGGAATCCCTCTCTCCGAATGGGATCAGAAACCGCATCTACTCAACGCGCCAAATGATCAGGAACCTCTCCCCAAATCTTCGTGTCTCGAACGCCGATCGTGAAGCGACTCGTACGAAGCTGAAGCAGCTCGCCGAGCTTATCAAGCAATACGAATCTAAAGGAAGCAGGATCTTCTCGCTTTCTCCCTCTCTCGCTGGCGTCTCAGCAGCGACAGTCCACTGCGCTAACATCCTTGCACGTTTAGATACTTTTCTAACAAACTGCAAACGTGATAAGATCATCTGGAAGCCGGATGGAAAAGCTAGACTGGCGAAGTTGAAGGAGGAGCTCGACGAGTGCAAATTGGCCTGGAGTCACATCGTCAAGCAGGTTGGCAAGGTTAATAACCGTCTAAAGAAGCTCGACCGGGTGAAAGTCTCGACTGGGAAAAAGACCGGTGCGACAAGTGGAGGAAAACTGACTAGACGTTCTTCGTCGCAAATAGTCAAGAGGAACCCTAGCAACCCTGTTTCAAGGCCAGACCCAAATTTTCATTCGAGATCCGTTAACCATTGGGAAAGAGATTCTCTCATTCCTACCGGTGCTGCTCCAGTATTTCACTCAGAGTCTCCCGCGGTTCACATACACATTCACAACCCAACTTTCATCTATTCACCCTCCAACAAGTAAGCCCAGCACGCCGACGAAGCTCGCCACATATGTGCAAATCAAGGGGCAGCCGAGGCTTTTCAGTACACGAAGCGATCCAAGAAGTGTACATCGATTCTGTCAATGGTCGGGGCAGACACTCCTGCAAACGATACGGAGCCGCCAAACTTGTGTGCTACGGCGTTGGTGGCTACCTGATAGGATGTCAGGAACAGTTTCAACAACGACTTCTTTGACCGATGGGTTCATTTTCAATCACGACCATTTCGAAGCATCGTCATGATGGAAGTGAGAAAGGCGATGTTCCAAATCCGATGTTGCCGAATAACTTATATTCCAGTCAACGATTGGTCAGATTTGACCAGAGGGACACTAAATTGTACAGACAATGTCGGTATGCGTGATGGAGGGCAGCTCTAATGTACCTACACACAATGTTTTATTTTTGTTCTAGCTTTTTCTACACGGCGCACGGCATCTTTTAAGAGAACACCTCAGGACATGCTTGTATCCTGATACGATGAGGGACTCGGAGGCCTCGGCTTGTTTGAGTCGATCAAATCATGCTTAGGCATTCGATTCCGTAAAAGCATGTCTCATAATCGACTCCATTTCGTTGCGTCCAGAAGGTGGAAGTCCATTTCACACGTGATCTAGCATGAACTCGTTTTAAAGACAGTACCCAGAGGTGGATGGATCAAAACGTTAAAGACGCCAGCTACTGAAGATAAGTGGCTATAGACTTTCCTCGCCTTGCATGAACAGTGTGTACCGTTCTTTAAAATGACATCTTCCGTGGTCAAATCTCGTAGTACACTGATAGTTGCATATCAGTTGCTATGTCCATATATCCGAGCTCTGGGAATCGCTGTACCAGGATTAAACCATAAGCGACGTCCCACTAATTCAACAAGGTGACTTCAGTGTTCAGGCGCTGCACGCTTCCACCGGCATCAATCACAATCAAATCGTGCGTCGATCACATTTCCTCGAGGCGATGCCATCACTCAGACAGACGTTGGTTTTAAGATGACGATGTGGCTGGCTGTTCGCTCAGCCGCCATCGCCCAGGCCTCCGGCCTCCTCCGCCGACCGGCGTGCCGACATTACTCGGCCGTGGTAGCACCCAGGAAGTCGGACCCGCTCCGAATCCTGTTCTGCGGCTCCGATGAGTTTAGCTGCGCTGCATTGAATGCGCTGGCTGCGGAGAAGAAGCGCAATCCGGGGTTGATTGAGTCGCTGGATGTCGTGGTCAGGCCTGGCAAGTTGACTGGGCGTGGGATGAAGCAAATCCGTGAGGGTGAGCGTTTTCCTTCAGCGCGACAGGTTGAGCAGCTGGCGCTAACTATTCTCGAAGTGCCATTGAAATCCCTTGCCGAGCAACTCAGACTGCCAATTCATGTTAGAGACACATTCACTGGGTGGAAGGTATTGCGGTTCCAAACTTGACCAGCGATTTACCATCGCTAACAATGCCAGCCTCACAACGACATCAACCTCATCATCGCCGTCTCTTTCGGTCTCTTCGTTCCCCCAAGGCTACTTAACTCCGCCAAGTACGGAGGACTCAATATGCATCCATCAGCACTCCCAGAGTAAATACTGTCGCATCTTCCCCAACTCCACTGCCGCTGACGATCGCCAGTTTCCGAGGCCCGGCACCCCTCCACCACACTCTCCTCCAACGACGTACACATACCGGCGTCACCCTTCAGACTCTTCATCACAAGACTTTCGATCACGGTACCGTTCTATCCCAGACCCGGCCCCCAGGCATTCCCATCCCGAAGGACTGCACTTTGCAAGGCCTGCACGACATCCTCACCCCGATAGCCGCCAGCATGCTCGTAGACGGCCTTCAAAGAGGCTTGCATGTACCTCCCCTAAAGGACGTAGGCTGGAAGCCGACCGAAGAAGAGCAGGAGATGCTTTGCCATGCGCCGAAACTTGCCAAGCGTGATAGTCAGATCAACTGGTCTACGTGGAGCGCGGACGATATTGTACTTCGCCAGCGGGTCTTGGGCTCGCTGTGGTCCATGGCGTTGGCGGATCGCGAGCGCAAGAAGCCAATGAGGCTGATTCTCGAAAACGTGGAGAGTGTGAAACGACCCGCGGACGCCGAGAGATGGATCCAAACATACTTTGAGCGCCAAAAGTCCTGGTTTCAGCATAAACGGTTTGAGCTTGATGAGAAGGAAGCTATCGAAGAGAATCAAAAGTTGGGTATCAAGGTGATCGACTGGCTTTGGCACCCTAAGCATACTTCTGCAGAGGACATTATAAACGCTCAAGACACCAGGCTGGCTTACTTTGAAGAGAAGGACGGCAGCATCTTGATCCCGGTCCCAAAAGGAGGGTGCCTGAGGGTACCGACGATAAAGGTCGAAGGCTCAAGCAGCAAACCAGCAGCCAAGGCAATTTCCAGCAACTTTGGTTTCGTTGAGAAGGATTGAACCCTCGGACGGGTATGATAATTGCCGTGATTTTGAGCGCGTTTTTTGGTATCTAGGCTACGAGCTGGTCGGTATGGTTTCTGGTTGTTGACGGCCAGCGACAACTTGTAAGATGGCTCACAAAAATTAGTGTCAGCGATGAAGGGTCATGTACTGGTTACTTGTAGAAGTTCTTATTCGGTCATTGCTAGGAGTGGTTCCGATGGGTATCTGCTAAGACGACGCTCTCTGAGGACAGAGAAACCGAGAATAGAGGAGTCAATTCAATCATTGCTGAGCCGGGGGTGCGGCCATGCGGCCGAAGCCCGTGAGCTGAAGATCTGGACTCAGTCTAGGTGGTTATCAGTCCCTGCATGGATGCGCCAGCTAGAATGTTGCTCTCAGCAGAAGTGTTTTTGAAAGATTGCAAATCCAAACCCAGCTGCCAAGCAGTGTTATGACTGCCATACGCGAAGTCGTCGAACCACTGTGATGTTCCTTCCCAGTTGATTACCATCCATTGCCGGAACCTACCCACATCACCAGTAAATCGTACTATGTATCGAAATCTCACTTGCTCACTCAATTAACTTCAACTTGCTCAGTTCTGAACGACGCTCGGTAACTTGAGGAAGGCACCAAAGCTGACTTGTTCCAAGTGCCTTCCTTCCCAACTTGGCTTGCGTTGCTACTGAAAAAGGCAAGAACTTCCTCGACAGGTACGCTTTCCATAGCTCATCTCACTGCACGCAAATATTTTCGCAAGGTGACTTTTTAGAATCCCCGCAACTGCCGTTGTCTTCCTCGGTTTTCTTTCGTCAAAACCCACCTCACTTTCTCCCCTTCTAACCCAGATACCTTTACCCTCAAAATCAACTCTCAAACCTTGCTAGGTACCATTCACACAGATCCAAGGTACTACTCTACACAAGACCATCGGAGAAAGAATGCGACACAATCTTGGACCAGCCGAACGGGTATCCGCCGAAATCTTGAACTCTCGCCGATCAAGCTCCATGCCCCCCGACTACCTGAGAGCTTATGGTCGGTTCGTCGAAGCAATCAAGGTTGCCGTCAACGAATATAACCTGAGCTCGCGCGAGGCCCCTCTCAAGTTTGTTGGTCCAATTCTCACGCCTGACAACAAGATTGGCGAGGTCCGCATCGTCAGAGACACCGAGCAAGAGGAAGACGAGGACTCAGGGATCGGAATGGAGTCGGAGTCGCTTTCCCAAGACAGACTTGCTGCCATAATGAAGAGCGGACCCCCTTCTTTGTCTCCGATGAGGGAATTTCCACGATTGACAAGAACGAGATTTATCTCCTCGGCTGATGAGAATGAATCCGAGCCTATGGTGATTGACACCTCACCGGAAGGCATGTCCATGACACTGGCGCGTTCACAAGGCGAAATTTTGGACTCTTCTCCTCAACGCAACAGAAATCGGCAGCTACATGGCGTGGACAACTTCGACTGCGAACCCAGCCCTACGATCGCGGGATACTCGTTCACGGCGAGTAACCCCGAAATCCGTGGGGAGGCCGCCTTCAACCGATTTATTCGAGATCGACCGCAAGCTCCGACGCCGAATGCCTTTGTTCAGGCACAGCACGCTACTACAGTCGAAGCGGAAGTCATCAAGGAGGATTCGTTTATCGAAACCGAAGATGAAGTGAGACAGGATGCCATGACCCTGGACGTTGGTGAACCTCGCCAGGAAGACGACGAGAACGGAGGCAGTGCCACGCTTGACGCCTTTAGTGACGACGATGTTGACAAATTCCTCAGCGACCATTGCCAGGAAGACGAAGAGAACGGAGGCAGTGCCACCCTCGATGTGCTCAGCGACGGCGACGCTGACAACGTCCTCAGCGACCCCGATGTTGACAATCCGCAGAGCACCACCGAAAACGTTGGAAAGACGGTTGTTATGGTCATTGACAGCGACACCTCCAGCGATGATAGCGACGAGGACTCCGAGCACAGCATCTACAAGCCATCCATCCACAACTCTCCCTCCGAAAAGGGTTCCCTGCTTCGCTTCCGACGCTCGACGCCTCTCAGCCCAAGTTTTCCCGAAGACGGTGACGCCACTGAACAGCGACATAAAATGCCACGACCTCCTCGCGCATGCTCAATTGATAAACGCCCCGTTACGTCCCCATTTCGGAATCTGACCCGGCCGGGGCCTATCCGCCGATCCAGAGTATGGCGCCCTACGCTCTGGACGCCAATTGAGAGGTTCACTCCAAGCCAGCGAATGGAATTCGACGGGGCCCTGCGTCACTCGCTTGCTACTGCCACCCGCGGTACGACCGTCTGGAACGGCCTCTTCAACGGCTCTCGGGAGTGGGACGATTGAACCAACCCGCGTGCTTGAGCATGCCTCGAATGCCGAGAAGCCGACGACCAGATCACATTCATCAAAAGCAATCAATTCATATGAATTTTATGAGATTTAATCAATAGTAAGTTTTGGGCGGCGTCCCGAGGGAGATTTTATGCTTACGAAGTTGGCAGGTTCTTCTAAAGAGCCATGCCAGGTCACCCGCACCTCAACAAATTGCATCAACTTGGGGTTTATTCTTTGGAATTATCGAGGAAGAATATTTTGCGCTTGATTTCCTTTATTTTCTTTTCGACGGTTTGTGAGTATTTCTTTGCCACGCTGGCGTTTTCGGAACTAATTTTGGGGAAGGATTTTTTAGAATGCGCACTTCCCCTTAGCCACGAGGCACGATGCTTGCCGCCACGGACACATAATCCTACTTCATTCCCACAGACTTTTCCGGCCGTGCAAAGAATAGAGAACACGGACTCGGGAGGAATACAGGTGTCATTTTTCAGGGACTGACAGGGGCATTCGGAGTTATTGGACATTGGGCGAAGGAAGCCGAACATAGACATCAGGATCACAAACCAGGACTGGTAACGACTGTAACATTCCAATTTTTCTCTTTGCTCTACCAACACATTACTTCGAACCACTCATTACATATGAATATATCATAGCTTGGAGCCCTTTCAACGATGGACTGCCACCGTCAGGTCCACGTCGAGCCTTCCGAATGAGTGAGACACTAAAATGTATCCACCAACTAATTGACTTGCGGTTTTGTACAAGACGCGCGCGCATACACACCAACGTCGTCGTAGCGAACGGCGATCGGCCTCCCCCCGGTTTGTTGTTTACTCGAGACCGACGTCTTCGACTCACATCTCTGTATACAACCTCTCACCCACTACTAGATGAAAACCCCCGGCAAGTGAATGCGGGGGGGGAATCTTTGGGTTTGTGTGTCCTAGACCACCACCACCAGCTTACATCACCAAGCCGATGACAACGGAGACAACAGCGGCCAAGCTGAGGGCACCGACGGTACGGACGCCAGCGGCGCCGGAGTCGATGCCGTTGTTGCTCGTGGAGCCGCCCTTGTTGCCGTTGTTGCCGTTCTTCTGCTGCTGGCAAATGCCCATGAGGGTGGAGTTGTTCATCATCTCGTTGAGCTTGGCCTCCTTCTTGGCAGCCTTGGCCTTGAACTTCTCGATCTTGGTGGTGTTGCCCTTGAACTTGTCGTTGAGGGCGGTGTCGTTCTTGGAGAGAGCAACGAGCTTGCTGTTCGGGTTGTTAGTGCTGTTCATATAGTCTCGTTTTGCAGGAAATGACTTACTTGAGCTGCTTCATCTGCTTGCACTCGCCCTGGGTGGTCCTGGCGGAGCAGTACTGGAGGAGGGTGGTGTTCTTCTGCATGTCGGCGAGCTTGGTCATGCCCTGCTGGACCTTGGCCTTGATCTTGTCGGCCTTGGTCTGGTTGTTCTTGGTGATGGCGGCGAGGGCGGTGTCGTTGGCGACGAGCTTCTGCAGCTTGTCCATGCGCTTCATGAAGCCGCACTGTCCGTTCTCCTGCTGCACGGCGCGGACCTGGTCGCACGTCGCCATGAGGGTCGTGTTCTTCTTGGCCTCGTCGAGCTTGGGCTGGACCTCGGCGGCCTTTGCCTTGATCTTCTCGATCTTGGTGGCGTTGTTCTGGGTGATCTCGGCCAGGAGAGTGTCGTTGGCCGCGATCTGGACCAGCTTCTCGCCCTTGAGGAACCGCTTGCACTGCGCCTGGGTCGAGTTCTTGCCGCCGCCTTGGTGGTCCTTGGCGAGGGCCGTGGCGCCCAGAAGGGAGACGAGGAGGAGAGAGAGCTGCATGTTGGCGGCTGTGGTGGATGTTGTGGAGGAACGGAAGGGTGGAGATGTTTGGTTTTGTGAGGTTATATATATAAAAGGCGGGCCGGCCGCAGTAAAGAAAGACAGTTAGTGAGAATTGAAGAGATGATGAGATGACCGCAGGCCGCTGGACCAACAACAGAGGAGGGATGAGGGCAGACACGGCCAAGTCTTATACCAAAGGTTCATACCACACCCCACGCGGACCAGACCACCCACACCGGGTCTCAACCGTCCGTCGAATTCATCCCATCTCCATGTAAGTGCGTGTGCGCGTGAGTGTGAGCGTGTCGAAGTGTGAGTGTACCCCCTCCTCTCTCTCAGAACGGCACTCGCACGAAACCGACATACCAAACGCACCTTGAGCAAGCCCCCCTCCCCCTCCCTCCCCAGAAGGACGTCGCCCCCGTCCAACGAATCGCCCTTCAGATGGCATGTCTCAACCCCCTCCTCCGCTACGCGGTGCCTGGCCGACTGTGCCCACCCACACACGCTGCAACCGTAGTTCGGTTTATCGGTGCGCGAACTCGCCTCTCCGGTTCTTTCTGTCTTTCTCGCTGTGCCTTCTATGTTCAGCGGTTCGGCGGGCCATGCACCACCAATTAACACCCATGGGCTACATTAACAGTGGCAGAATGCAAACCCAAAATGGGTGCTTGTTCGCTCACATTGCTTGCGCGCGGCTCACCGAACCTGGGTGAACCCTCGAAGCCTTTTCTTTGCTAATATCGGACATCGGGACCTAAGCGGCGCGTTGTTCTCTCTCTCTCTCGCTCTCTTCTGTCCAACGTCGAAATGGTACATTCGCGCGGCAGACAGCTGCCGTTCGAACCAGGTCCAGATCATGTGTAACAGACGATCCGCCCCCCGTTCGTAACCAATTTTTGACATTGACACTTTTCTGAAGTTCGACACACGCTATCACCGAGGGCCTGACGTGGCCTTGGCGGGAAGTGGGCGGTAATTGTGACTTTTGGGCGGCGCCAGTGGTTGAGAGAGAAACACATCACGGACATTTTCTCCTGTTGTTTTTCCAAACGGGACCAGCCCCCCGGCCTGCGCTGCTGACGACGGTTGCAGCAGAGATGGGAAAAATCCCACGGCAAATGGGCGCCTTCGCGGCAACGACATGCCGCACGACGAATTACGACTCTGGTCTGTACGGGACCATGCAAAAGAAAACGCGCCCCCAGTACCCACGATTCCAATCTGTCTCTACTGCACCGTACCCGCTAGCGCGTTGCTTCAGATGCGGCTCAAACGGCATGTTTTGGCACTCTTTCTCCTCCACTCTTTTACTGAGGTGCACTAAGGCTAAACCCCCTACACCCCTGCCGCCTCCAACGTCAATCCCAGCACCCACGCATTGTCCGTTTCAGCTACCCCCCAGCCCGGACGCGACGAAACACTGCTGATCGATCGACGGTACAGCTTAGCTTAGCCCAACACACACACACACTTTCTCTGCGCCTGGAGACGGATAATGCCTGGGATCTCTGCCAGCCTTCTTCTGTTCTCCGTCTCGACCTGGCCGTCCTCGCCCAATGGTATTGTGAGTTGCCATTGCTGGCGACGGTCCCTCGAGGCCTCGAGGCCAATCGTTTTCGCAGCAACTGTACCCAAAAATGGCACTTACAGCGGAGATTCGGGCCCCCTCCCCCCTTCCGTTGGCCCCCATACAATAAACCTTGTCAACGCAAGGGGGGAGAAGAAGGTGATCTCGACTGCTCTTAATACAATCTCTGGTAGGAGAATGGCAATCATGTGTGCCAAGATTTGATGAGAGGCGGGGCCTGCGATGTAACCGCAGCAGTCGAGCATAGCAGATCCAAACGCACATCCCTTTGCGCCCTTTTGGTCCCTTGTGGTTCACCGTTCAGCAAAGTCACTCTTCTTTTCCCGCGGTTGTTCCGAGGTAAAAGTAGTCTCGACACACTCGCCGGTTCGCTACCGCTTCTCTTACACGTGTATACGTAGCCTGCCCAGATACACAATTCAAGCTTCAAGGCGGCGCTAGCGCTTGTTTAGCTGCCGTCCTTGCCTAGCCTGCACCTGGGGAAAAAGAATGGCTGCCGTGTTACCCTACAGCAAGTGACAGGAACCTATCCCTCTGCGAGATCTGCCCCCCTCCCCCGAGGTGGCTAGTCTAGTGGGAGATCCGCATGTGAGGCCTTGGCGATTTGCGGCTCAATGCATCCGTGTCTTGGTCAAGTCTGGAGTTGAACGAGTGCGTCTGGCGACATGCGACTACGGGAGGAATCATCTTCTCAAGTACAGTGGCGTTCAGCAACGGACAAAGTGGTATGGCGTTGTTACGGCGATGCAGGAAAGTCAAAAAGAATAAAAAGGGGTCTTGGCCGAAAGATGCGCCAAAACGGCGTCTTCTGCCGTCTCGCATTCGTCTGCTTTCGCGGTGTACCGTCCGTGATCCTCACCCGCGGCCGAAGGTGAGCCGAAAAGGTGAAGAGAAAGGGAACGAACAGGCAAGAAACGGTGCCCAACCGCTCCCTCGTGTCGTGTCCGTCCAGCCAGTCGCCTCTCCATCCGCAGAGCCGTCGTCATCTCGTCGTCGGACCATACCGCGATTGGAGGGGGGAGCAGGACCAGGCTTGTTCGATCTCCTCTCGTCTCTTGCACCTCGAGGTCCAACAGTCCTTGCTCGTTGGGCCCGTTGTCGTCCGGAAAACTCTGTCTGTTTGCTTGTGTCATCCCCTCTTTCCGATGCCATACGTCGTCTCCCTTCGAGGTGTCATGCTTGTCTGCGAATACCGGCTTTCGCTTCCGCTTCGGCCAAATATTTTGTCTGACTGGCAGCTGTTGCAGCTAGCAAAGACGATCAAGTAGATTCCCGTAGCCGCTGCAAGATGCATTGCTGCTGCTGCTGCTGCTGCATCTGAGCGCGCATACGTACCCTTACGACGAGACATCACATCCCGTAGGCATATCGGCGGTAAAGCCAAGAATGGCCAGATTTTCCCCCCTTCTGTGTATCTTCCCAGACATGTCCTGCAGATACTGATGCCCGTGATCGACGTCCCCGCAGCGTTTCCTCTTGGCCTGCCCCCAGGTTCCAGGATCCCTCTCTTTTTTTAGGGTCACTCTAGGAGAGAAAATATCGCACTAACTCCGCTAGCGAGCTAGCGAGCCAACGAACAACCGCCAAACGGCAATATTTGGCGACGGCAGCGACATGCAGCGACAGGGCCCCCCTAGACGGTGTCCGGGGGGACAGACGTCGAGAGGTCGAACGACCAGTCAGGCCGCCCCTTGGCATCCATTACTAACGATACTCTTCGAGACGACCTTGCACATGGTGTCGCCTCAAAAATGACAAGCTTCGACACACAACATTTGTGGCCCCCCCGACCCCGGGCAGAGTTGTAAGGCGATACCAAGACAAGACGTGTGTCAAGTGGGTAGCGAAGGTCAGTTGAGGCGAGTCGCGGGCGGCGCTACCCTACCCTCGCTGCTTGGCCCTGCACAGAATGCTTCTGTCTGTCTGTCTGCCTGCTAGGCCCAGGACCCTTGTTCAGCCCGCCGGAGAATTTCAGGAACATTTCATTTTGGCACAGTGAGAGCGAGGTTTCTCAGCTAGTCGTTGATCTTTGCGCCGCCGCACATGCACATATTGCACACACTCTACATGAATACTCCTTGCACAGAAATAACTTGTAACGACGACAGGTTGATTAAACGCTTGCGTACGACAGAGAGAATGCCATCCCTCTTTCCAAAACTGCCATGAATTCGGAAAAATTAACAGCCAGGGCACATAAGCAAGGCCAGCCTCCGGCAGGCCCCGAACGCGGCAGGCCCAAGCAGAAACGCTTGTCAATCAACTGCGTCAGGGTTCATGGGGGTTTTACAATGCCATTGAGCCCGCGTCGAAAAAGTCTGAATGACAAGAGACAGAACCGAAAAGAAGAGAAGTTGCGTACGCCAGAACAGGACTTACGTAGGCAAAGAAAGAGCAAAGAGACTGACTGGTACCACCTCTTGGCTTGTCCCTGTCTGCATTTTCTCCGCGTCGGTTTTGGCCCACTCCAAACTCTCAATAGGGAAGGGAAGGGAAGCCATCCGCAACTCGCCATACCCCTCCCACTTGCCTCTTTTTTCACTTTCCTCTAGCCAACAGTTCGCATTGCGAGAGTTCCGACGGCCGAAGAATGGCTGGGCTGGGGTCCTGGGAGTTTCTTCCGTCCTCCCTCTCTCTTTTTTTGACGCAGGATAGCGTGGAATTCTAATTTCATACCTTATCTGGCTGCTCCGTTCTGGATAGATTTCACGTTGAAAAAGGAACACACTGCATAATGCGTATTCATCCACGTCACCCAGCCAGCCGCTCGGGTCGGAGCATAACGCCGAACCTAATGATGGTGTAGGGAATGGCCATGATGGGGAGGGCATTTCTGCTTTTCGGGAGGCGGTCCCGAACGTGGTTGTCATGCTCACTTTGTCTTTTTGCTTTTGCCTGTCTGTCGTCTTGCGGTCCGTCTGGCTAAGGTAGGTTCCGACGTTCGTTGCCTTGGGTTTCCAGACCCCATCGTCTCTCTCATGATACCTTCACCGTGCTTCTGGTAGTTCGCCTCTGCGTGTGCCATGGTTCATTAGCGCCTGTCGACGTGGACTGCCATCTCGCCAGACGCCAGACGCTTGAGTTATAGACTACCTGGTATCGCTCGTATCGTCGTCGTAATCGAAGCCATCATCGTCTTTCTTTCCCCGTCCCTCTCGGAAATGCCCATCCTTCGCAAAAGCCAATCTCCCGATTCCTCCTCACCCAAAGACCTCAATCATGAAGTGGTACTCAATCTTGCTCCCGTCGTGCCGCCCCCGCACCGTGAGCTGCCGGCACTTGTCCGCCAGGATCTCCCCGACAACCGGCGCTCCGCAGTAGAACACACCGACCTTCATCTCTTCGTCCTCCTCCTCGGCGTCGTCGTAGGCGTCTTCTGCCTCATCTGCGACGGCCCTTCTTCCCACGCGGCTGCTCGCCCCATCCATACCCCCCCGATCCCTATCCATATGCCCGCCATCCCTCCCATTGGCTACAGCGCCGTCGCCTGCAACACCACCGACGCCGACGTCGTCGTCTGCCCTTTGCCCGTCCACAGTGCCATCCACGCTGCTATTTTTCTCTCCGACGTCCGTTCCCGCGTTTGACCCGTCGCCAAGCCCGCCACCACCCTCGCAGGCATTTCCGCCGCCGCCCTCCCTGCCGCCCTTCCTCGGCCGCCTGCGCGCCGCCCGGAATTGCCGCATCTCCTCGTAGTGCCTATCCAGCACCGCATCAAAGTCCGGCCGCCCAAACCGCGTCGCGTTCAGCAGGCCCGTCAGCGGCGACCGCGGGTGCTCCTCGGTGCGGTGCATCTCGAGCAGCCAGCGGTACACGTGCGTGACGATGTCGCGCCGCTTCTGCGTCACGTGCGTCGCGATGCGGATGTCGAGGTGCTGCGCGGCGCCCTCGTGCGCGCGGTGCCACGCCTGGCTGCGCGAGACGGCGTTGAGCAGGTCCGCGATCCAGAGCAGGTAGTTCCTGTCGCGCACCGTCCAGTGGAAGTCCACGCGGCGGTAGTCCGGGGCGAAGGAGTGCGATCCCGAGGGCGGCGGTGGCTTTGCGAGGTTGTTGGGGACTTGCTTCTCGTCGTGGACGGGCGCGGTCACGGTCGTCTCGGAGTCGTGGCGGTGTTGATGGTTGTGATGCTGGCCGGCGGCGTGCGTTGGACCCCCGTGCTCATCGTCGTCGCGGGCTTGTAAGTCGGCCAGGATGCCGGAGAAGGGCGTGACGCCGATGCCTGAGCCCACGATGATGGTATGCCTAAAGTCGTAGAACCTCTGCGCCGGCGCGCCAAAGGGGCCATTGATCCCGACCTCGATGCGCGCCTCCCCCGTCTCGCCGCCCAGCTCCCGCAGCCTCTTCGTCCAGTTGCCGTCCGTCTTGATATGTAGCTGGAACTCCCTCCCCTTGCAGATGGAGACGGTGAACGGGTGCCACTGGAAGGCGCTGATCGCGGGCACCTGCAGGAAGACGTACTGTCCCGCCTGGTACCTCCAGATCCGCTCGCTCGGGATCGTAGCCGTGATCTCGACCGTCTCGCCGTCTAGGACCTTGAGCGCCGCCGGAATACGATGGAACCCCGTGCCGACGCGCACCAGGCGCTCCGTGAGGATGAGCAGCGTCGGGAAGGCGAGGAAGTAGCCGAACATGGGCCACTGCAGTAGCCCCGCCGTGCCGTGCGCCATCATCAGCCCGATGATGGGATACATCAGCAGGTGCGAGAGCTGGAAGAGCTCGTAGTTCCAGCGGCGCACCGGCGGCAGGCTGCACAGCGCGAGGACGTAGAACAGCCCCAGCGCGGTGATGCCCGTGAAGCCCGGCAGCGAGCGAACGTACTCGACGTACGGCCGGGGCACCATATCCGGTCCCAGCACCGCCGCGACGCCGTCCTGGTTGCCCGGCCGGCTGCCGTGGTAGAACGAGCCCGTCAGGTGGCCAATCGCGTGCAGCGTCGCCAGCGTGAGCGCGACGATGGAAATCTTGACGTGGAACGCCTGGCCGAGGTCCCAGTTCACGAAGCGCGAGACGCGGTACGAGCGGCGCAGGAAGGTCGAGAAGTAGCGCGACATGCTGAGGATGAGGAAGAAGAAGGTCGGGTACAGCATGCCGGCGCACGTCTTGGCGAGGACGACGCCCCAGCCGAAGGCGGCGCGGTACGCCGGCGTGGTGGCGTACTTGACGCACTGCCAGACGCCGAAGGCGAGCATGAGGCCGGCGACGAGGGCGAGGAAGGCGACCTCGGGCCCGTGGACGGCCCAGTAGGCGCGGAAGCGGCGCCAAGGGCGCAGGCGGCGGACGTAGTGGCGTTCATCGTCCTCGGCGGCCTTGTCCTGGCTCAGGGAGGGGACCTTCCACTCGCGGACGCGGGCGGCGAAGTCGGCGCGGGGGATGCGGATTTTGCGGGGGTCTTCGGACTCGCCGGGGGAGGAGATGCCCATGATGGATCGGAGAAAGTCATGGCGGACGCGGTCGTCGGCGGAGTCGTGGGACTTTTTGATGACGTGGTGGGGTTTGAGCTGGGAGGAGGGCGTGAGCTCGTCGTGGGCGGCGTCGAGCTTCGCCTCGACCTCGGCGTAGTCGATGTAGCCGTCGTCGTTGTGGTCGAGGTCGTCGAGGAAGGAGTTGATCTCGTCTTCGGTAAGGTACTGTACTCCCTCGGCGGGGTCTGTGACGGGGTGCTCTGCCATCGATGGTTCTCAGAGGCGGACTGAGAGGTTCTCAGAGACGATATGGCGAGCGGGAGGGCTCTTCCTCCAAAGGAAGGACGGGACGAGGGATACCATGGTGTTTTGTATTCTGGTGCTCCAAAGAATGGTGGACAGCTCATCAGACGCGATGCGCTTGGCCTTCTGGGCGGTGATTTCCCGTCTCCTTCATGTGCTGCGACCGTGGTGTTTTGCTACGGGCTGGAACCGCGTCGCAGTACGTCAGCCAGGGGAGCCAAGAGTCTTGGTGTTTTGGCGTGGACTGCGTCTAGGCACTTCAGGCCACTTTCCAAAGGTGAGATCATCGTTCCGCATCGCGCCTCTTGGAGCCTCTTGGGAGCGTCTCCAAGCTGTCAATGGCACCGCTCTCGCAGAATCCAGACCTATGATGGCTTCGCGCCGCGTACACGCCGGCACCAACCTTGTTTTTTCCCTTGTACCGATTATCGCACGACTGTTGTACCTCACTGCTCGTTCAAAAATGCCATGCCAAACCGCCCGTCTTGGCTTTTCTTGGTGTTCGTCCGTCCAGTTTTTTCTCTCCCCTGAGATTCGATTGGTATGGCTGTTCTTGTCATACTGGCGTGCTGTGATTGGCTTGATAAGAAGGTTTAGAGCGATCCAATTAAGCGGTGCAGCGCACGGGCCACAATGACGCAGTCTTTGCTGACCTCTCTCCGCGGCGTGGCTGGCTGTAGATGTGCAGTGCGGTGCAGGTGTTTGGTGACAGAGGCCCAGCACGCCGGGGCCTCCCGTTCAGGGTCCGGCATGTGCCGGTCGTCCTTGACCACCTCTCAAGCGTAAAATCCCCGTTCAAGAAATGCTATCAAACACGGAAAACTCATGGTATTCGAAGAGAATTGCAAAAACTACCTGGTAGTTCTTAGGACAATGGTTCTGGTCGCGTTCTAGAAGACGTAGGACTCGCCGCAAGCTGACCTGCCTAGTCCTACAACCAAGCCCCTCGCCTTGACGACACCCAAAATCCTCACGCCCATCTCCCGCCCCCGATCCTCCAGCACACGCAATGTTCTATTTTCGACTCGCATCCCGACCGTCCCACGTGTCTCCTAGCCCAATGGGAAATCTGACATTTCTCGCTAGAGCTGACAATCTCTTACGTGGAGAAGACTCATGGTCGCTCAGCGGTGAATACACGCAGCGTGGCTAAGCGCTGCACGCTGCCTCTTTCTCAGCACCTATCTGCACCACACTGGGTGACTGGTCAGCGTTAAACGAAGGGGATATTCATGAGAGACAGATCCCCAACCTTCCACACACCATAGGTCGTAGAACTGCCTCTGCGCAGAGTCCTACGACGCTGCAGCCTAGGACGATTAGGTAAAACCACACTTGAGCGAGCACCTCAGCCCAGGGATCTGCTCCGCACCGCGACCCGGCGCCCTGCGACGCTGTGCACCGCGATTATCGGGTGCCCCGCCGTCGCCCGCCCCCATTTGATGTAACCACCGCCGTGGGCCATAAGAAGGTCTACAATTCCATGAAAACGCAATCGCTCGCTCGACTGTTTGACATCTTGGAAATCCCGGTGGTTTGATTGTCGTCGCCTGTTGCTTCACGTCGCAGCATCCGCACTCCAGGCAAACATACACCTGGCCACCGACGCTGACCGACCCCACTTCGCCAGCCAAAGACCCAAACGGAACCCCGCCAAGCCCCCTCCCCGGCCGCCGCAGCTTCACACCGCACCACCACCGCGCCTCTTACCCCGCTATCAGCCGGCCCAGGCAGAGAGCCTCACTGACGCCTAACCACGAACGCCTTACCTTCAGCCGTCCTCGCCATCACCACATCCCCCCTCCCCCCCAAAACCTCACCTCACAATTCAACCCTCCTCACATTCCCATCCCAAACCCCCAAAGATGGCCTCCCCAACAAAAGACCGCATAACCTGCCACGTCCTCGACACCTCAACCGGCACCCCCGCCCGCGGCGTCCGCGTGCAACTCTCCACAACCACCACCGCCTCCTCCTCGCCCGCCCCCGCGCCAGGCCAGCCCGCCCTCCCCAAGACCTTCGAGTCCCTCACCGACGACGACGGCCGCATCAAGGCCTGGCTGCCGTACTCCTCCTCCTCCACCGCCGGCGAGGTCCCCGTGTACACCCTCGAGGACGTGCTGGGCGAGATCAAGGGCCCCTCGCGCTGGGAGCTGCGCTTCGACACGGCGGCGTACTTTGGCGGCGACGACAAGACCTTCTTCCCCGAGGCTGTTGTGGTTTTCACCGTGCAGGAGGGCCAGCATTACCATGTCCCGCTGCTGGTGAGCCCGTATAGCTATACGACGTACCGCGGCAGCTAAGCGCGGGCTGCATGGATGTGAAGGGGACTGGGTTAGTCAGGTACGCGTGTGGCTTTTTGACAGTCAGGCATTCACATGCGTGTAGCAACGGGGAACAAAATATGATATCCAATGGTGCAAAAACCTTGCAACTCAGTGATGTGATTACTAAAAATCTGCTGGTTAACGATAGTGTCTTCATCGTCCCATCCTAGGTTGTCCCTCCTTGCGAGGGGATCTGTGTCTCCCTGCCAGCAGGGCGGGCTTCGACAATGACAAAAGAAAGAAGAAGTCGAGGGGAAGATATTCCCCGTGTTCCATTTTGAAGTAGCCCGCCCGTTGTTGTGTACGCCTGAATCCCATGTTCCCAACCCCACCGATAAACCCATCCCGATTCCCATGAATAAATAAAACTCCACGCTTGCGCTGGTAATGTCTGTTTTTACAAATTTACGGCCGTGTCGTCATTTGCGTTGCGTCGTCTCGACGCTTAACCGCTTGTCGTCGTCGTCTTTCGGAGCGGAATCCTTGTTGGCGTCTCTCGCAGGTGTGTCGGCCGCCTTGCTCTACTTCCGCCAGCCGAGCTTCCTAAACAGACTGCCCTTGCGTCCTGTCTCCGACGTCACTGGTGACAGATCGCCACTGTGCGACAAGATGCTCTCGGCGCCGTCCTTGCTGATGCGGCCCGCGGGCAGGCTGGTCTGGCTGGTGTTGGAGTGAATGTCGTGCTCGAGGATGGCGGTCGAGTCGGCGTCGCTGCCCCCCATCTCGCGGTACATGGCGGCCATTTGCGGGGTGATAACGCCGTGGCTGATGGTTCGCTTGTGCTTCTGGAGGAATGAGCGGCGTGTCCTGGCCATCACTTTGCTGGAGTCGATATCATCCTGCGAAATCACAGCGTTTGGTGACAGGTTGGCGTCGGGGTGCGGTAGTGTGGTGTTGCGGTCTGGTTTGGTCAGCTTCAACAACTCCATTTTTTGTGTGTTAGTGAGTAACATACCTCCGTTGAAAGGCTCAGGAAAGCCAGTGTTACGAAGGCTGTTTTGGCTCTTCGTGCTCTTGGTTGACGGGCTTCGTGGTGTGGCGTTCATTTTGTGAGGCTCTGCGGTGATGCGATCTTAGTTTCTGTGGGGAGTCGATCGAAGATAAAATAGTGCGAGATAGTATGCGAGATGGAGACGGTCGCAGGAACGGTCTTGGTCTTGAGTGGCTGATATTCAATGGAATAGTAGCGTCGTGGGGAAACAGAAGAAGATAAAAAAGAGTTGGGCAATGAGATGAGTGAGAGACTGCTCTCTGTTCAGACTAGGCGGCAAAAAGGTGTTCAGGAAACGAAACTGGAATATCGGAAGAGACAAAGGCGGAAATAAAGACCAGACTGGACCGGGCTTCAGGGCGAGACGCCGACGGGATTCTTTCTCGTGGGTTTATGAGATGTTGCCGTTTGATCCTTTAGCGTCTTGGGCAATTACGAATCCCCTCCCGAAAAAGGCGAGACCAGTTAATGAGACCGGCAGGCCCAGGAACGAGACGAGAGCAGATGCAGCGGTTGGCAATTGGACAAGCGAGACGACTCGACTGCAGGCAGAAGTCGACTCCTCTTTTTTTTCGACGCCCCAAAACCCGCGGGAATGGGCGGGGGGAGGCAAGTATTTAGAGGGGTGCATCAGGTGCTGCACCAGCGCATCGAGGTGCGGGTGTGGCTACTGGCCTATGCTTCTCTCGCTATGGCTGCATCTAGCAACAAACACGTAACGTCCCGCCTCTTGGGCTGTGGAGGTGTGCTGCGTCTTGTTTCTCGTGTGTAAGGTATGGACGAACAGGTTGCCCGTCGCTCTCGCTCCATGACTGCTCCTCGCTCGGGCTCGGGCTTCCGCTTGCAAAGTCGAGTCGAGCGCAGCCATCATCGACGAATGACTGGCCGCAGCAGCTCCAAGCAGTGCAGCAATGCCAACGAGAGACTGGGGGTATGCAGGGGGAGGCGGGGGAACAGAGTGCCCGGGAGAGCTGCAAGAACGCATGCCGCTGCTGCTACCGCTCCGGCTTAGGTTTGCTCCCGCTGCACCTCAGAGGACAGACGAGCACTAAACTCGCTGAGCGGAAGAATGGACAGCCTGAGAGCCTGGGATGACCTGCATGAGGGACTCGGCCATGCAATGCACACACAGTTGGAGGTCATGGCCGGTTGTGTTTGGCTGTGTCATGTTCCTCGAACTCTGATCGTGGCGTCTTCATTGGATGGGGACGGAAGTGCTGTGCCCGTGGGAACTGTCCCAACCGCCCAACAAAAAAAAGGCAAAATACCACCGACGACAAGCACCAGGACGACGGGCACGACAGGGGATGGGTGGGAGCCTCTGCTTCTAGAAAGCACGGATGACCCGGCGGCGTGTCCGCAAGGCGTTTCCTCTCTTGCGGGCCGACGAATGACGAGTGGAGGATGCAAGGGTTCCGCTGGGAGGCGGATGATGCCAGATGGATCGGGATGAAATGAGTGACGGAGGATGGTCGGAGGATGGAGCTTGGTGGAAGAAAACAGGCAGGAAAAAAGAGACATGGCAAAAAGGCGAGTTGTGGAAAATGGCATGGCTTACCTGGAGAGGCCGAGGCGATTGGCGCGAAGCGGTGCCGGTATTCCGGGACTGGGCGTCAGAGGTGGAACGCGAGGACTTGGCCTTGGGGTCTTGGAAGGCGGTAAGACGGCGGAGAGTCTGGGCAGAAAGCGGCGGGACGGAAACACGCTGGCACGCTGGGTGTCGAGGGCGGGCGGGCGAGTGTGAGCGTCTATTACACCGAAAACGTATCCGCGTGACGGGCAGGTAATATCCAAGAGATGGGTCGAATTCGGTTCCTTCCTGACGAATGATAGAACCAAGATGACGAAAGGCTCGGTGAAAAGGGTCCTGCGTGTTCTCCACTGAACAAGCGCGCGGCAGGGAATGGGCTGTTTTGTTTTGTGGGCGAGCCGGCTTCTGAGCGGAAGAAGCAAAGAGTCAAGAAATGCTGCGACGTCGATGCTGAAACGGCTTTGCGGGGGTCGATGAGGCAATCGTGGAATGGGCGAGCCGTAAGCCGTGTGGGAAGGTTGAAGATATGGCAGGAGGAAGACGGAAAGGTTCGTGGCAGCAGGGGCAGTCGTGGTTATGAGTGAGCGTCGTTGGTCGTTATTATTGCTCGTCGATGATCGTGCTCATGGTGTGGCCTTTGGGCGTGGATGATGTGGGCTATGATAGTCGGTTGACGTTGCGTTGGTTATGCTGGAAGTGGAGGCGAGTGATGACATTCAGGTGGACAAGGCCACAAACACGGGGAGCGGCAACCCGGTTCGTTTATATCATGAGAGGGCACGACAGACGTCTGAAAGCGAGCGAGGGAGAGAATGCCGCGGCCAGCAGGATACGGACAGGATAGGATAGGATACCTGCGTTGATCACCGGGTAGCATCTGGCATCTCTGGGTCCGCAAGGTCAACCCGGCCGGTCGGTCATATCCGCAGATGGCTGGCAGGTACATGACCAAAGGGGGCAGAAAGGCGTGCCTGTGCGGTACCCTTCTTAGCCTCTGCGATAAAGGTACCCAACGTGCCTTCTAATTTATTTGGTTGTTTGCTCAACAACACCATCTTCATTACTAACCAACTAAGGTCCAAGTCTAAAGCAACAGATCGCAATATGGCAGGTGGCCGGCAATCGTCCGTGACAGTGCAGTCCCTGTTTGGCTTGGAGACCTCCCGTAGCAAGCCAAACCCATCTCTGACTGGCCCAGCGATGTGCTACTGCTGGCGTTAGGGAGTCACTACTCATGTCCCCCAGAAACCTGCCCAAAGAGAGTAACGATTCGCCCTCCTGCCCTTTGATGATTCGACCAAGTTCCAACAACCCCAGACCTCGTCAGGCACTGCAAGCGAAAACACCCGTCGTCCATCGTCACCTCGCTTTCTCTAGCGTTCCGATGATCCAACGGCAGCTGGCAGTGGCAGTCACCACTCACCACTCACGCACTGCAGCGCTGCAACACCACTGCTGGCAGTCTGTCAACCTGTCTCGCTTACTCTTCTCCTCACTGGCCCGGTGTGGCAACATGTGTCGCAGCAGACCTACCGGACCACGCTGACTGCAGGCAGGTTTTCTTACAAGTTTCCCATCGCTGCCAGCAACATCGGCATCCACGTTGACGGGCTGATTGGCTTCCGGGCGCCTAGCCCTATTCCCCAAACTGCCTGCAGTAGCACCTCCAGGGTAGCAGCAGCCACACGGGGTATCCGCGCTACCTAAGCTAAATCCAACTATGCTTCTTCTGTGCCCTTCTTTGCCGGCCGATACCGCCCCCGATCTCTGCGTCTTTTAATCTAATAAGGCTAAGGAGGGCTGTACACCGAGCCTATTGTGGTAAAACGAGCCGGTGAGCAATTTGAACAAAACTAAATGAAAATGCTTCACCAAAACACCTCAGGGACCCGCGTTCTCCAGCACTCATCCAGCGTCCTCGGGCCCCTAAAAGACCCACTATCCGTACTACGGGCCCTCTGCGCCTGCCTCTCCCAGCTGGACTCTGAGCCTCTCTGACCCCCCCTGTCCCCTGTCCCCTGCTCCTTACCTCATTCAGTAATCGACACCAGGGCAACCTCCAGTCCCGGATCAGGAAGCAGCGAGAACTGAGGGGCTCACCGCTGCCCGCAGGACCCTGACGACCTGACTGACCTCAGTGCCCTCTGATCCCCTCACCTGCCCTGACGACACCGAGCAGCTGCGCCTTGCCCCTGATTGGCTGCTAGTAGCCCCCGCCACACTTAAGCGGGTCCGCGAGAACCTCGACGATTGTCCCATTGGCCACCGCGATGAGCTAGGCCAAGACCAGCCACAACGCTCGCGTTACGCGGCCCCCGTGAATCTTTTCCATCATTCTTCTTTCGATAACCATGGACGCCGCCACTGTCACCATGTCGAATCTTGCCAGCACGAGCTGAAAAACCTGCTCCACAACCCCGTCGACGCGCCGAACGGCAGTACGGCAACCCCGACCCCCGGTCCCACTAAAGAACCTCCGTCTCGCATTCTAGTTGCTCCTCCGTCGGTACCTTGCTGCCGTGAAGCCTGTCCCTGGGAGCGGGGGAGAGAAAGGGACTGAAAAACAGGAAAACCTGCCACCCCAAGCGTGACAAGACGCTACTGATCCGAACTCCGACAGATGGAATGTTTCTGAAGAGTTCAGCATACCACGCTGAAGTCAGACGTGGATCACTCCTCTGGATTTGGGTCATCACTCACCAAATTGCTGGGTCTGGCAGGAACGCAATTCCGTTCCCAGCCTAGGGTTTTTGGCTTTTGGGTACAATGTTCTTGTCTGACCTCTGGCACGGGGAGCCACCATCGTCAACGATCGCATTCAAATTTGCGATATCAAATAAACCTCTGCGTACCTTAGTCTGTCATGGCTGGCTTGGTCTGGTCTGGACCGCTGCCCTCAGCGCTAATCCTCGGGAGAGGCACCTCTCCGGGTCGCGGCACATCGGCGCCATGGCCTCGAGCCTCCAACGTCTCTGCTACTGCGGCTGCTGCCTCGTGAAAGGGAAGACAGCAAGCTAAACAAACTCTCACCCGTTGGCTTAGCCTCACAGGTCTTGACACTGATGCAGCTTGGTTCGGGCTGATATTTGGAATGGACGAGCGCTCGTCTTGTCTGTCTGCCAATAGCTCTCTCGCTCGGATAGTTCACGTGCCGAAATGACAGACGGTTGAAAGAGTTTAAGCTGATGCCTAATGTTTGGCCAGTTCATTTGATTGCCCTGGCACCACGGCATCTTCCGGTAAGTAGGACCTCAACAATTACTAGACAAGTGCTTTGAGCAGCTATGAAGGACATTATCAAAAGTCATGCACCCAAATTCAAGAAAGTCTTATATCCTATCCAAATATTCCGTCTGAGCCGTTTTGCCGCACTTTCGTATCAGGCAAACATCATCGTTACACATTCGCAAGCAAATTTCATGGAAATTTCCTGGTTTCCTGGTTCTATCGGCTGTGCCAAAGTCCCTGTGACTCTTCTAATAAGAAGGTGTTTGTATTAGTTCCCTCAAATCGAGGTGTCTCCTCAAGATGAACATACTGTTCAATCAAAAATCGGGGATAGCTCCGCATTTGGCGTGCAAGTTTGGCTTCCGTCATGCCAGCGCTCGCCGCACCACACACAGATCCTCTGGTCGCAGCATTTGAAGCGTATCTTCTCTCTCGGCGGTGATGATCGAAGCCTATAGGTCCAAGATTCTGCTCCGCAACTTTCTCGAGGACATGGGAGAGTTATCCTGCCCCAGATCTGATTCACTTTGTCCTTGAGCTGGTCGTCGATAGGGAATCCGCTTCGCCACCACTCAATCGGATGGCGGCAGCATACAGGGGAGATATGAGGAGGCTGTATCCACGCTTCCATCTTTGATCGCAGACACTTGCTGCATAACCAGTGACCGCAGGATTTTGTCTTCAAAGCTTGCTCGTCAATGGGTGAGTGGCATTTGTTACACTTGCTCCCCAGCGATGAAGACTCGCGTGACGACTCCTTCTCTTCAAACCTGGCATCTTTCTTTTCGCGCGAGTTGCTTGTCTGTTCGGCGGCTGGGACATCGGTGACCACCTCGTTTCCTTTCCTTTCTTTGCCTCCCCTGCCCGGCTCTTGGACCTCATCTCCGCAAACGGACTCAGCATAGACTGTAAGCCCGTCAAGATAGTCTTCAAGGATCGTGTTTGTGCGCTTGACATCGCCGTCTTCTGGTTGACGTGAGGCCCGAAGCCATTGGATTTCTTCCAATATCTTCTCCGTGTCATCTTTGATCCCCGGTATGAACTGCGTATGGTTTCGAATGACTTTCGTGTCTGCTTTTATGCCTCTCGCAATCAACCTAGATAGAGCGTCTGTTAGCACGTGAATTGCAAGAACAATATTCGTGGCCTACACTTACAACGTGGTCGTCTCGACAGTTAAGCTTAGCGACTCACGGTACGTCGTCAACTCTCTCTCCAAAGCCTCGACCTCCTTCTTCTTTTTAGCAGCCCACACGATAGCTCCGGACGGCGCTTTACATCGTTTCAATACTTTTTTGATATTCTTGACGACACGATTACATCTCCTGACGATTCGGTCGATCTGCGCCTGTAAGGAACTTGGCAGCGCGTCGCCCTGCCCATCTTCTTTAAGAACCTCGAGAACGAGCTGCAGGTCGGCCAACTCGCGTGCAACACTCGTCAGATCGCCTCTCGCGGCTCGACAGTCGCGTATGAAGGATGTTATGGCCTTAGCTGTCGCTGCCGCTGCGGTGATGAGGCCTACGCAGCCTGTCACGATGGAAAATGGGTCCGCCATGACCGTGTTCAAGGGAAAACACCCTCGGGCTGATCAGGCTGTACATTTCACGGATGTCATGAATGACCATGTAGGGAGGGGCAACGCCGCGTGCCTTTGACGGCCCAATGAGAGGGATTCGGTTTTGTTACCCGGTTTTTCTGTTGTTCTAGAAAGAGAAAATTCTTACCAATAAGCTTTAAGGTGTCAGCAGATATGCTGCCTGCATTTTGCCTCATCTCTGAAGGTCACAGAGTACCTTGAGAGGTATGGCTGGGCCACAAATATGCATGCACTTTAGGCGTCCTGCGGCCTGCTGCTGACGGTTCGCCAATGCTGCTTGGCATAGTCTACCAAAGTCCACGACAACTCGCAGAAACATTGAAACTTCTGACAAACTGGTGGCACCAACGCCGTGAACCCTCATAAAAAGCAGTTTCACGTCCCTGGATCAATTCTCAAAAACAATGCCACCAGCAATAGTGGTCGAGGACTAAATCCCTGGAGTGGTTATCCTGACTTGCAGTCTGACAAGGGGTGACGAGCAATGCACGCATGCCTTACCCCCCAAACCGACCTAAGGAACATCCTACCTACTCTTTGCCGTCCGGACCTTTGGCGTATTTGCTCAACTTATTCATGATTATCTTAATGAAACCTATCACTTGAAACATGTAGCTGATGGGATTTTCAAGCTCGCTGGACTTAGGCGGCACAGGATAGATTCATTGTGGCTCCTTCGGATTGTCACAGAACGGTTCTGGGAGACAGCATGGTCGGTTTTCTTGACTGAACCATGTCGGTAATGGTACTATTTATGGACTGATACCCTTCCCTCGAACCATGAACGGTTTATCAGCGTTAAGGGTTGAGAACTTTTAACCACGTACCTGGATGGATGTCGCGCATGTATAAAAGCAGCGTTCATTTTTCACTTATCGAATTTCCAGGATGAGATACGTTTTCGCGAAAATTTCGGGACTTGGATTTCTTGTAATTATGATGAAAAATGCTTCTTGATGAAAACTTTGTATGAAACGGTCGTAAGGTGAGCTCCAGCCATTTGTAATGAACCAGCTTTTATTATTTCCGTCGATTGATACGTGGGTATTCGCTTGGTCGATGTTGATTGGAGTACTACAAAAGGAAGTTGGGAAAGGAAACAAGGCAATGTTATCCAGATACCTATCTTGGGCAACATGAAAATCGAGTTGTTGTAACTTTTCCTTGTCAGCCAAGTGTATGGGTTGTGGGAGGACATGGCATGTCTGCCGCAGATCAAAGCTATCAGAAGTGGCTAACAAGATTAAAATAATCCTCTGTGTTATTAACACTAGTACTCCTAGCGCGTAGACACAGTAACAAACCTCAAATAGAAATATCGAGGGAACCGTTCGTAGGACAATCCCTAATGTGTCTGGTAAATACGTCTCACAAGCTTCTTGGGCGCATTACGCTGAATATAAGACCTGTTCATCACTTTGAGACTGTCTCCATGTCTAAATCTCAAAGGTGAGGTAGCAGTTGCGCTGGTATTTCATGTTCTTGAGCTGTCCATCCGACAAAGGCCAACCGCGCAAATGGCATGTCGACATTGGTCATGTTTCGCATAGAGACAATCACATAGGGAACGGCTACTCAAAGAACGTGAATCATCTGATGATTTGAGACTGCTCACAGTGTCGTTCTGCATTCTATAGACCCTCTGTGGTCCTGCACCCTTGGCCTCCCGCGTGTGTTCGCCTCTTGTGATGTCCGATACGCCCAGATATTTTGAAGGTTATGCTGATAATGGGAACAAGTTCTACTAAGCCAACTTGTAGTTGGAGAATCAGTCATTTTCATAGTTCATGCAAAACCTGACCATCGATATATACACATCAAGTGCAAACCGACTTTCGCAACCGGAGGTTTTTGTGCCCATTAGAAGACGGACTTCCCCGAGAAGAAGTTCCAGACGGTCACAGCGAAATGTGACATGAACCGTTGCTCCGTCTACGCAGCGGACCTCGCGACACGTTGCCTCCTGTGCTGTGACTCAGAGCCGTTCATAGGTGAAGCACTTAGGGATGCTGCTTCTCAGGTGCCCCTCGAGCAAATCTTAGGAAACCGAGTCATGGATTGCCCATAAGAAACTAAGACAATGCACAGAATCTTGTTGCGGTCATACCTCCGGACAGAGAACAACTGCAGCAAGTAAACGGCAACCACTGGTCTGCCTTGCTTCTCAGTGGCCTCAAGCTATAAACTCACCAGGACTGCCGCGGCTCAATTGCTTCAAGACAATAATGAACTTTTATTCGGTCGTTAAGCTGAAACTGCTCGGAACTAGAACGGTGAGAAGTAACTGACTCATTCCGGTCAGCTTGTGGTTCCTGGATCCTTCCACCACAATCTATTTTGAGCAATTTCATTCACACTTTATTAGCAGATGAAGACGTTAAATACACGGAGGACAACAAGGATACTCAGAACCAACTGCATCATAGATCAGCATAAGTTCTGAAAATTTTAAGCACCTGAATATCTAGAGACTGGGCGTATGGTGCATCCTGCAGAGATCCAAAGATGTTCATACGATGTCGATAGAACACCGCATTGTGGTTTGTATCCTTCAACATCTGGATTCGGAGACCTTTAAATACTGAGATAACGAAGCCGGAAAAACTACAACAATCACTCGACCTTTCAGTGTGTTCTCTCAGGCAGTAGTAGAAACTCTTCGCCGCCGCAATCGGTCCGGACCCTTTTACGTTCTATCTGTAAAGGCACCCACGTTGAGCTCATCTAAGCCAGCCAAACCAGTACTATCAGCCAACAAGTCCGTTTGTTGAGAGGCCATTTGATATTGAGAGTTAATGTGTTTTGAGGCGACACCACAAATAGGCACGGGCTTTTGGTAGCCTTTTGACTCGTGGCTGTACAGATGGTTCGCTTCCATTTGGGGTTGCGTGTATATGTGTTCGAAGTTCCCAAGGAGAGGGTCAGATCTGTAGAATGGATTCCCGTCTTGGGTATTGAATCCCGAGGTCGGCTGCGTGTCCGTGATAGAGCCCATCCGGGCACTGCAGTTTGATGTAAGTCATTTGAAGCATGCTTTCACAGTCGCTGAACGGGGTTTCTGTCGTCATCGAGCTGTTCAGAGAGGAATACATCAAAACAGCCGCGACCGGAAAGAATTTTGCTAATAACGCCGAGCCATGTGGCTCGATGGACATCAAGCCTCGCTGAACGATGAAAACATGAGATACTCCCAATCGTCGTTGCCGTTTTCTTCATTGTTTTAAAGGGATGTCATTCTATCTGAATAGACCTGCTTTTAAAAGACTCTCGGTTATCCTGACTAGCTGCATTCCGAGGCTTCTAGACCAACACCATAACTAGCATCTTGAACCTAGGCTGGGTTGATGACTACATGCTTCTGAGTCATGGAAACTGCTTGGTCAAGGCAAAATGGCGTAGCTTCACATACCTTGGTTCGCCGTTCAACCAAAACAGATGAGAACCGTCTCAATCAAGTCGCATGGAATATCGGGGTCGGAGCTCATAGTGATAGGCTGCTGTTGCTGAATACCGTGGCCAAATCGTCCTGAAGCCACAGAAGGCCAGGTTGGACGACGAAGCTGGTCATAAAGCAAAGGCTGTGAAGGGAAAAAGTGAAACGTATGAAGCAGATAACAATTACCAGCATACTGAAAAGATTCTCCATTTCCTCACGTGGCTATGAGGGATCATTGCCTGCACCGACTCGTTACTGAGTGAAGCAGCCTTTTATAAACCAGCGAACTGTTGTTTTGTGTCCAATTATGTGCCTTTAACTGTACTGAAGTTCTATATATTATTCAAAAGCATCCGGGTAGAACCGCAAACCACACAGCAATGAAAGTTGTAACAGTTCTTGTAGCTAGTTCACTGATGTTCGTTGGCCCTACCTTATGATATTTCACATCTCCAGAAAGACCTCATAAGTAAGGTCGGCAAGGACATGGTTGATTATTGTATATTACGAAAGAATAAGTCAACAGCAGAAGCGAAAATGGACCATGGGACACATGGTACGTGAAACTAAATACATGTACGGCACTCTAGATCCCATCATCGGCCTGTACTGGGACCAAACAGATTCCACGACAACATCGAACCACCTGCATTTCCTGTTGGCCATCTGGAAGGACCTCGCAGGCAAGCATACTTATAACAAGACACGCCGCAAGCACGAGACCTCTCAGCCCGCAGGCTGCTTGTGCTGAGAAACTGCCCACACGATCGCCGACGATGGTTTTAAAAGCAAGTTTGCAACGTTCTAGAGAGCTTCTGACAAGAAAATGCCATTCTCGGTCATTTCCATCGACTTTATTGGTCATGAGAGATGTGATGGTCATGTGTCTCATCTTCTGCCTTCACTCATCTTCTCACCTCGCGAAACCACTTGCCATCAGGGAATATTTGTCAAGAGCAATAAGAAGAGAGAATACAAGAGAATAACCGAAGAATACCAAGCGTGCTGAGCCACAGAGTAAGTCTGAACCTCTTGTGATGGCGAGCGCCCAGCAGTCCTTTCCCGTATTTCCCTACAGATGTATGGTTTCATACCACCTTGTACTTTTTGCGACAAGGAAAGCATATTGTCATTGTTGTCTGATCAAAATACATGCCACTGTTGCCTGCTCGCTTTTATACTGCATCGTACCCCATGGCTCACTGACCTAGACACCACACGCGCAATGGATACAGAGTAGTTTGAGTATATCTTCATTAAGTTTAATCTGAGTATACAAGAAAAAGGTTTCATGCCCTGCCGATGCAGGCGTGGTATCATATTCGCAGCACAATTTCATCCATCCCTTCATCAGAAACACCTTCCCGGTACGCCAGCGCCATATCAAAGTGCGCCAAACTCATGTACACGTGCAACGTTTTACTAGCATCGCAGCTGGTCTGAAAGAGACCCATCAATCCCTACTAAAATCCGGAGCGGGCCCCGAATTTAGTAGCGGTTGCGCTGCCACCAGCGGCGACGG